AAGTCGCCCAGTCGTATCCAACTCTTAGCGACCCCATGGACTGCAGCCTACCAGGCTCCTCTGTTCATGGGATTTTCCAGGCAAGAGTACTGGAGTGGAGTGCCATTGCCTTCTCCAAGGTAAACCCTACCCAGGGCTAAAGGAACACTGAAGATTACATTCTAAAATCATCATAATAATAAATGGAATTCTAAATTCCTCACCGATACACTTTAAGAAGTTAGCTCTGGAAGGATAGTTCCTTTCAGACTGTTTCTGCAAACACTTTGAAGAACCGTCCTCAAGTTTCCTTTAAGTTTGGGCCCCATGAGTGTTTGGCTCCTGGACTCCCTCCCTCCTTAGTCATCCTGTGGGGAAGGTGCAGGTGGATTTATGTGACTCGTATATTTAACAGGAATAAATGGACGTGCCAAAGGCAGCTTCCCTCTCCCCCCCTTTTCTTCCTTTACAGCCAACTGCTGCCAAGAGCAAGAGATCTGCGGTGTGACTCGAGAGCAGCCTTCAGGCTCGGCCGCTCCAGCGTCCGGGGCCCCATCCTGGGCCAGGGATGCCAGGACTACGGGACGAATCCGTCTAATTCTGGGGTCAGTGCAGACCGCAGGCTCTCACGCTGAGCGCTGCCCTCCATGAAGCCTTGATCAGAAGCAAGGGAGACGTTCTGGGTTGGGTGCCTTACTCTGTGCTCATGTCTCAATTTACTGCAATGGTGCAGGAAAAGGGATTTTGTCTGGTGGCTCCTTTAGGCCAAAACAAAATGAGTATCATATCTGAGTGTCTGGAGAGAGCTAGGTTTCTATTCCAATAACGCTACTACAGTTTGACAAGTATGACTCCTGCTGTTGTAGTAACTATTTCGGGGAAAGTTTTTAAGAGATTAATTCTGGACATATGTGTAACATGCTTTATTCCTTGATATGTGAAATACTATTTAGGATAAGAGAAATTAAAGGCTTATTTCCTGGGTGAACTTAGGACATTCCTAAATTTAACATATTTAAGGTATTTTGACGATTAGTTTTTAAATATTATGAGTATTATTACTTAAATACAAATATTTTTATATATGTGATATATGTATACATACTTTAATCATAACCTTTTAAGTTTTCAAAAATTAGTCTTTAGTGAGGCTATACCATTATAGTTTAAATAAAAGAAAAAAGTAGAGACTTACAAGTGGAAAGTCGGTAACATAGGCATCACACATTAATATATCAGGCGGTTTGTGCACTATACTCGTATAGATTATCATGACGTTGGAAAACTCGGCTGCAAACCCCAGTTGAATCTGAACACCACACTGAAATTTAAGACACATACTTTCTGGAAGCTCTGAAAAAGAACAATAAAAACTTACATAAATAATTACTTAAAGAATTTTTGGTGAGTTTTCTGGTAATGAGCAGCAAACAAATATTCTTTATGGGGCAAAATACTATTAGAGCTGTTTCTGTCGCTTAAACACGTTACAGGAAATTCCCTGGAGGCCCAGTGGTTCCAACTCTGTGCTTTCACTGCCAAGCACCTGGGTTCAATCCCTGGCTAGGGACTAAGATCCTACTCACTAGGCTAAAACATTCACAGCAAAGTTTGGAGGAAAGCTGTGAATTTAGAGGGAAAACGACTTCATAGTTTTACATGAACATATAATAGGGAGAGAGCATAAAAAAGACTTTACGGTACCATGCGCCTTGGCCCACTGGAGGTTTCGCACCAGAGACTCTGCGGAGTGTGCTGTTCCCTGGATTGGGTCAGTAAGGGCTCTCTTTTCAGATAAGCTACTTCGAATCTCTAGCGCCTGCTTGCCTTTGGTAAGGTGACATTTACCCATATCTTAGTCGGTAACATAGGCATCACACATTAATATATCAGGCGGTTTGTGCACTATACTCGTATAGATTATCATGACGTTGGAAAACTCGGCTGCAAACCCCAGTTGAATCTGAACACCACACTGAAATTTAAGACACATACTTTCTGGAAGTTCTGAAAAAGAACAATAAAAACTTACATAAATAATTACTTAAAGAATTTTTGGTGAGTTTTCTGGTAATGAGCAGCAAACAAATATTCTTTATGGGGCAAAATACTATTAGAGCTGTTTCTGTCGCTTAAACACGTTACAGGAAATTCCCTGGAGGCCCAGTGGTTCCAACTCTGTGCTTTCACTGCCAAGCACCTGGGTTCAATCCCTGGCTAGGGACTAAGATCCTACTCACTAGGCTAAAACATTCACAGCAAAGTTTGGAGGAAAGCTGTGAATTTAGAGGGAAAACGACTTCATAGTTTTACATGAACATATAATAGGGAGAGAGCATAAAAAAGACTTTACGGTACCATGCGCCTTGGCCCACTGGAGGTTTCGCACCAGAGACTCTGCGGAGTGTGCTGTTCCCTGGATTGGGTCAGTAAGGGCTCTCTTTTCAGATAAGCTACTTCGAATCTCTAGCGCCTGCTTGCCTTTGGTAAGGTGACATTTACCCATATCTAAAAGATAAGATGTGAATATTATGTTTAAGACCACATCGTTTCATTTCGGCCAAGAACCCTCCTACAAATCAGGTTATATTCTCAACATCACTTATTCATTCCAGACACCTACCAAGCACCTACTATGTGCCAGGCATGGTTCCAAGTGCCAAGGATATGGTGTGAGCAAACAGATAAAAGTACTGGACCAGCTCACTCCTACAGGCCCCTTTCTGGCTATTAGCTTCTATATTTCTATTGATGAGTCCCTAATATGCTAAGCCTTGAAATTCACAAAGAAGTAAAGTATATTTCTTTACTGTAAGAGCAGTCAGGATTTATGTGTACTCTGTGGAGAAATACGTTCAGTTAAACAAATGACTACACAGCTAAGAGAAAGTGTTAAAATATCATGCTGTCTTTATCTCAGATTTCTTTTTTAGAAAAGAAATAACATGTTAAGACAAACCATGTTAAAACACCATTACTGTCTCCCCAACTCAAAGTAACCAAAGTACTGTGTATATTCTTACACATATTGTAATTTTTACTCATGTAGATATTGGTAAATAGTATGTGTCAATGTTTTAGGTTTTGAACTTACTAAAAATGTTATACACGTGCTTTTCTAATACACTATTTTCATGCAACATGATTTAAGACATGAATACTGACAAATCTCAATTTAAATTTATAAAAGGATACTACATTCCTTTGCATAAATACATTACAAAAAATTCATCCTATTTGTGTAAATATTATTAGTGAAAATAAATTAATAATATCTGGTCTTGGAAAGTAGTTTCTTATCTGGGAAAACAGACATAAAACTCTAAGACTTTATCCCTTTTACTCAGAAAGATATTCCAAATATTTATCTTTCATGAATAACAGTAAGGTCAGAGAGAGAGAGGGAAGTTACAAAACAACTAAATTAAAATAAGGGCTTCCCTGGTGGTTCAGATGGTAAAGAATCTGCCTGCAATGCAGGAGACCTGGGTTCAATCCCTGGGTTGGGAAGATCCCCTGGAGGAGGGCATGGCAACCCATGCTAGTATTCTTGCCTGGAGAATCCCCATGGACAGAGGAGCTTGGTGGGCCCCAGTCCATGGGATCACAAAGAATTGGACATGACTGAGTGACTAAGCACACAAATTAAAATATTCCTACTTTTTGCAAACATACATAAACTCAATTAAAACTATGTTAGAAGCAAATCAAGGGAATGATAAACAAGATTTAGAAGGATACACATGCTAGTAAAGTAATGCTTAAAATTCTCCAAGCCAGGCTTCAACAGTACATCAACCGTGAACTTCCAGATGTTCAAGCTGGTTTTAGAAAAGGCAGAGGAACCAGAGATCAAATTGCCGACATCTGTTGGATTATTGAAAAAACAAGAGAGTTCCAAAAAAACATCTGTTTCTGCTTTATTGACTATGCCAAAGCCTTTGACTGTATGGATTACAACAAACTGTGGAAAATTCTTAAACAGACTGGGAATACCAGACCACCTGACCTGACTCTTGAGAAATCTATATGCAGGTCAGGAAGCAACAGTTAGAAATGGACATGGGACAACACTCTGGCTCCAAATAGGAAAAGGGGTATGTCAAGGCTGTATATTGTCACCCTGCTTATTTAACTTATACACAGAGTACATCATGAGAAAAGCTGGGCTGGAAGAAGCGCAGGCTGGAATCAAGANGAGATGCTTGGATGGCATCACCGACTTGATGGACATGAGTTTGAGCAAGCTCCGGGAGTTGGTGATGGACAGGGAGGCCTGCCGTGCTGTGGTTCATGGGGTCGCAAAGAGTTAGACACAACTGAGTGACTAAACTGAACCGAACTCCATGAAAGGGGGGCAAGGAAAGAGAGAGGGAACATATAACTGGATATAGGTTACTGTCAAAGTCTGAGATTCATGCTGGACATCTAACTCACAATAAAAACTGTCAGAAGTATGTTCCAAGGGACTTATTAAAAAGTACATCACTAATTGAATAAATCTTTTCTTCTAGCAGATCGTGGAGTTTTATAGAGCAAGATGGCATTTGGGTACCTTAAATGCCATATTGCCAGAACTAGATAGGAAAGAATTTACCGTGCAATTTCAAGCAACTTAATAATGCTGTTTCAAGTAGAAAAACCAAAATCTGGGGTCCCAGATTGATAGCAGGAACCTTATAACAGCAACCAATTTATTTCCTATTTTGTTTCACTGGCACAACAACTGAAACTGGAAAGGTGGTTTTTCTTCTCAACTGTTTGGCCTATGATCTTTGAAAACTTAAAAGTATTCAGAATAAATTATCCTGAAGAATTCAAAGTTCAAATGTATAATAAAGTATAAATAAAAATATAATCCAGAAGTTCAAATATACTGGGATGCCATTTATTGACAGAACAACAGGTGGGTGAACTGGTGCTTTTTATTAAGTTTTAAGATAGGACAGATTAAAATTAGAATAAAACATTTTAGAGTCTTGGGAGCATGTTCATAGATCTCACTTTGAAAATAACTGACACTCCAAAGGCTTTTTTTTAGGCACCGGAACTTTGTCTTCAAATGAGAACTTTAAATAGAAGCCCACACAATATGTAAATCAGGTAAAAGCAGAACTTCTTTGGTTGAAGAAAGAGGGTCAGAGCCCTGGCTGTCTACACTGAAGGGGAAAGTAGTGAAGTCAAGTGACCCAGCTAAGGGATTACACTGATAAAAACATGAAAATAAATGAGTGTGACTAATGAGTGGGTTGCTAAACTATTCAGATGCCGTCTCTGGAATATCCATGAAGCTCCATTTCCTAGGGAGCCAGTTTGCAAAAGAACTGCCTTCTTTTTAATGAGACTTATGAGCTTCCCTGGTGGCTCAGATGGGAAAGAGTCTGCCTGCAATGCGGAGACCTGGGCTCGATTCCTGGGTCAGGAACATCCCTTGGAGAAAGGAATGGCAACCCCCTCCAGTATTCTTTCCTGGAGAATTCCACAGACAGAGGAATCTGGAAGGTACAGCCCATGGGGTGGTGAAGAGTCGGACAGGACTGAGCAACTAATGGTGTTAAAAAAGAGACACGTCGATCTGCTGCTGTGACAGGTGCTTCTTCAGAGAGTGACATGAGCCCAGTGCTGTGCCTGGCAGCAAACGAAAGAACAGAAGGAGTGGAAGAGCCACGTGGTGGCAGACCTCTAGCATCCTGTCCTTAAAGCAGAATTTCAAACTCCCAAATTAGTCAAAGGAAGAAAAAAAAAAGAACCCAGCCTTTTCCCACAGGGCCTTGAAATTTCTATAAAGTTGCATCTGTTTGACCCTGAAAGAAAATGCTCATTGGACAACTTTTTTTCTCTTTTTTTGCAAATAAGCAGACTGGGCGGCATCAGGCATTAATTATTGAAACAAGGTAAGGAGTTTTGAGGATTAAACTTCATTGATTTCACAATCATGTCTGGGCTCAGACTTGCAGGTCAAAGTAATGCTACACTAATGCATACAGCTAAGCCAATAAGGAAAGAAGCACTCTTATGAACATTATATAAACTATTTCATTGTTCCATGAAATAGATACTAATTCCAAACCCAAATAATGACTGTAGGATTAAAATACTCAGAGAACCATAAGTAGCTTTCTCTTTAGTTTTATTTTACCTTCTGCAACTTCATCCAGTAACACAGTAATTTTCTTTTCTTCTAATAACCTATCCTTTAAAAACTTCATGAAGATTCCATTTGCTAATCCAGAANGCAACTTCATCCAGTAACACAGTAATTTTCTTTTCTTCTAATAACCTATCCTTTAAAAACTTCATGAAGATTCCATTTGCTAATCCAGAATGCTGTATTTCAAAAGCTTCTGCTCCTTGACACCTGAAAAGACATTAAAAAAAAAGCAAACACTTGGCCCATGAAGCTTCTATAAAAACTAATGAGTCTCATATACTACCCTGCCTCTCACATGACATCTTAATTAAAGAGTTGACCTTTAAGCAAGAATTAAGTGCTCTGAGGCTTAGTAAAAAAATGCCAAGCTCTAAAGTGCTGAGGTCAATTATTTAAAATTTTGCATTAAGAATACTGAGGCAAATTTATGCCTAGATGGCTATGGATATTTCTAGGCTTCTAATCTACAATCAAAAAGAAGTCACTGGGCTTCCCTGATGGCTCAGTGGTAAACAATTCACTTGCTGAGGCAGGAGACATGGGTTTGATCCCTCATCTGGGAAGATCCCACGTGCTGCGGAGCAACTAAGCGTGTGCGCCGCCAAGTCCTGAGCCTGTGCTCTCGAGCCTGGAGCCGCACCTACTGAGCCCGTGCCCCAGAGCCCGTGCTCTGCAACGAGAAGGCACCACCGTGAGGAGCCACCCACCGCAACTAGAGAGTAGCCCCCGCTTGCCACAACTTGGGAAAAGCCTGTGCGGCATCGAAGAGCCAGGACAGTAAAAAAACCCACAGAAACCCTGTTGTATCAAAAAAAAGTCATCAAAGAATGACAGAATCCCCAACATCGAAGTCTCACGTGGCGTATCCAAAGACGATATTGGCGGTGACTCTCAGGGCATCCAGGATTGGGATGGTATCGTCATAGTCATTTCTGTTTAAAAGGCAGAGGAAAAGGACAGATACAAATACAAAAAGTTAAAATGGCATTCTTAAAAGAGCACAAATAATAATACAGTGAAAATATGTATTATACTATTCTGTAACACATAAAGGAACTTTGAACCTATCACTTTCAATTATCTAGTTACCTATGTATTTACCAAAAATAATCCAGGATTCCCCAACGACTGAGACAGCAGAGAATCATCCCTTTTTCTTGTTAGCTTTTAAAACTGGAATTACATTTGAACTTGGGCGTTGGATTTTGATTGCTAAAAGCTGAGCAAAAGTTGCTAAGGGCCCCCACTCTTTTGAGTTTTGATTCTGCTAATTCCTAGAGGAACAGCTGCAGGGATTGCAGAAGACATTCTAAAGGCAGTCTGAGGGGCTGCATCTTTTCTAGTATGAGTGAGTACCCATGCCCTTTTGTTCATCACTTCTATTCTAGAGCAGGCAGGAAAAATAAAAACACATAGAGAAAATGTATTTTCTAGTTTTCTTCTTAATCAATCTCACTCTACAATCTAAAATTCACCAACTCTAAGTGTTCGAAGGCTTCATGGGTGTGCCATTATATCTAACTTGTTGAGGCTGATGTTTAAGTGACATTAACAGGCTCCTGTGTGAGGACTGGACTGTCTACCTCTTCCTGCACATGTCCAGCAGGAACACGTTGAGTCCAGTCTCCTTTTCTTGCATCAGTTTCAGGATATTCTGTACACACAGACAATTTTCAGACCTATATGGATTTGGAGCATCCACAGGGACCATAAAGCTGTTCCCAAAGTTTTCATATCCATGTCCTGCGTAATACANCTGTCTACCTCTTCCTGCACATGTCCAGCAGGAACACGTTGAGTCCAGTCTCCTTTTCTTGCATCAGTTTCAGGATATTCTGTACACACAGACAATTTTCAGACCTATATGGATTTGGAGCATCCACAGGGACCATAAAGCTGTTCCCAAAGTTTTCATATCCATGTCCTGCGTAATACAACAGCCCTGAAAAGCAAGAAAGGAGAAACTGCAATCTGAGCAGGCAGCACTCTTTAAAACAAAACCATGACTTACTTTCTTGACATGAATGCGTACTTATTTAAGAGAGATGCAACTACAAACACATTCAAGTGTTAACTGAATTTGCCTTGAAAATTACTTTGGCAACAGTCTTTGTTTAAGTACTGAATTTTAAACCAACATCAGGATGCTATCCTGTGCAGCTAGAGAAGCAAGCCAAAAAAGAGAAATACCAGATGATATCACTTATATGTGGAATCTAAAACGTGACACAAATGAGCCTACCTATGAAACAGGAACAGGGACGCAGAGACTAGACTGGTGGTTGCCAAGGGGCTGGGGTGTGTGTGAGTGGTTGGACTGGGAGTCTGCGATTAACAGATACAAACTGGAACATAAGGGATGGAAAAACAAGGTCCTACTGAACAGCACAGAGAACTATAGTCAGTGACCTGTGATAAACCATACTGGAAAGAGTGTGAAAAAGCAAGCATATATATATACACATATAACTGAGTCACTTTGCTATACAGCAGTGATTAACATGCTATAATTCAACCACACGTATGTCACAAATTGTAAAAAAGATGCTCCTCTGAAGTGTATTTTAATTCATGAAAGTGACACATCTGTAACCAATGGTATAACATGGAATGCAATTTCACCTCAGGATGTTTAAAAACAAACAAGACTGAGGACTCCTGTGACTCATCTGTGGTTTCTGAAACCAGGAGCTTCTTCAGCCAGGGCGCTCTCCCCTTTATCTGTGTGTTCCCGGCACACTGCAGGAGTTGAGTGAGTATTTAACAGATGAAAGGACAAACGAATTCAGAGGAACAGCCGCTGCCATGCCAGGTGTAAGAAATTCCACAGCATTTCCTTATAATATCAGTAAGGTTAGAAAAATATCCAGGCAGCTTTTTCTAGGCAGAGAAGGGAAATCTCATTTCATGGATTGCTATTTCTTTTTGTTATGCAGGTATAAATATCACTTATTTTTCTGTAGTCTGAATTAAACTAAAATTCATGTTATTTTTAATGTTCACAGATGAGTTATTATTTATTTACTGAGAAATGGTACTATAAAAAAACATACTAAACAACTCTAAACACCTTCTTGAAAAGAAGTTTGTTTTTGTTCTTAAAAAAAAAAAATCAGTATGGGCTTTCTTATAAAATATTTGTTATTCCTATTTGATAGGAATACTTGTGAAGACATAGTCCCCTAAGCCTGCAATCTCTAGCACCCACTGACTCTGCTCTGTCAATATTCTGAAGTGATGATTTCATTGTGTAGTATTCTACAGTAAACAGTAAAAAGTAGTAGAAGGAGAACAACAACAACAAAAAGCTAATTCTTTATAGCTGCAGCCCCCAAGCCCGAGCAAGAACGTGGTTTTTAGCAGCAAAGAAAACTTGCTTCCTTTGGTCCCACAGGGCAGGATCCAGGTTGTCGGCTTTTCCTGACTTCCTATTTAAATAAGAAAAACGGTTCTTTCATACATATCATTCTGGGTAAAAAAATGACAAAATGGACACACACTGGTTTATTCATTGTGGGTGTTCATCACCATGTAGGTGGCAAGGACGATGAGAAAGAAATGAGCACGGAGCTCCTGGCCCTGAGAGTCTTACAGCTCATTCGGGCACGCTCATGTTATCAGTGATACAAAGAAAAGTCTGCATATAATTAAACAGCACACATCACGGGATTAGAGCAACGCTGTACATGATGTATGAAGTGCCGAGGGGAGCACCAGCGTGAGGGGAAGCAATGACAGGTGGTCCTGAGAGAAAGGGAACAATCTGGAAAGGCAGGGAGGAAGGAAGGTGCGTTATAGGCAGCGGGAACAGAGACAAACAAGGCTTGGCCCTGGAATGATAGCTAACAGAAAGGAGACCAGCCTGGAAAGGAATTAAATTATCACTGTAAATCAAAGTGTTTAGAAAATCACAACACAGTGGGTTTAATTAGCAAAGCAATGAAAATCCAAGTAAGTGAAAAGATAACCCACAGAATGGGAGAACATGTCCACATAGACAGATAAGTATTTGTGAGAACAAATTATATATCTACAAGGACACTGTATCCAGAATATATGAAGAACACTTCAACAATAAAAAGACAATTTTAAAATGCGCAGGGGACGTGAATAAATGTTTCTTCAAAGAGAATATACAAATGGCAAATAAGCACATAAGATGATGCTCAATATTACTAACCATTAGGGAAATGCAAAACAAAACAATGAGATACCTCTTCACACTTATTACGATGGCTGTAATCAAAAAGATGTGAACCAAGGCTGACAAGGAGGTAGAGAAAGTGGAAACCTCGTTTGCTTCTGGCAGGAATATAATAGTGCAGGCCCACTGGAATCAGGCGGTTCCTCAGAAAGCAAAACTTAGCATTCTGTGACCCAGAAACTCCACTCCAAGGTAAATATCCAGGGAAACTGAAAACACGTGTCCATGCAATGTTCAGAGCAGCACTAGTTCCAATATCTAAGTAGTGGAAAATGGTTAAATGTCCATTGCTGATCAACGAATAAACAAAATGTTCTGTATCCATACAATGGATGATTAGTCATAAAAATAGAGCTACAACACAGAGGAAGCTTGGATGCACCATGCCAGAAGTGACCGAAGCCAGGCTCAGAAGGATGCATAGGGAGTGATTCCATTCATAGGAGAGTCCTTGGGAGACAAATCCAGAGGCAGCAGGCGGGTTGCTGCTGTCGGGAGTCTGGGGTCAGGAGGACTGAGGAGGGACCGCCAGTGGATACGGGGCTTCTCTGGGGGCCGATGACAACGTTCTGGAGTTAGCTGACTGAACGGCTTTGTGTGGGCACTGACAACCACTGAACTGGAACCTGCGGTGCAGCGCGGGGCGCTCAGCTCGGGGCTCTGGTGGCCTGGAGCAGTGGGACCGCGGGGCCGGGAGGGAGGTCTGGCAGGGAGGGGGGTCTGCGTACACAGAGCCGATCATCACTGCAGAGCATAAACTAACACAACGTGGGAAATAACTATAGCTCAATAGAAATGTTCGTAAAACGAGAAGACCTGTGTACTTTAAAAGTGCAAGATTTACACTGTCCAGGATTCAAAATCTGACTCCACTCCCTGTCTGTCTCTTTCCTGCTTCCACAGCAAGACACACTTATTTGTAACCTCCATGGCCCCGCTCAAGTCACGCTCTCCTTTCCATCTACCCAAATCTTCGCCAAGGCTCAGGCTTATCTCAGGTTCAGACCCTGGGCGCTTCTGAACACATTTCAGCCCTACCCTGCTAGGAAATCCTACAGCATCTCTGACGCTTCAAATCACACACGGGCTTTCATGGACATTTACAGTTCTATGTAGACGCAGTTTCTTTGATAAAAGTAACTGTAATAAAGACATTAACTTTTTTACATTTGCATGGCATTTTCATGATTCATGATTTTCAAAGCACCTTCAAAAACATTATCAGATTTTAACCTGTAGCAATTTTTAAATGACCTACTTTATAGGTGAGAAAATCAAATTTTAAAACATTAAATAATTTGCTTAAGATCATATAGCTGATAGGTATTTATTTGTATTCCATATACAGCGTTTCTCCGGTCCTATTATATTAGGGGGCTTATAATTTCCTCAGATGGTAAAGAATCTGCCTGCAATGCAGGAGAGACCCAGGTTCGATCCCTGGGTTGAAAAGCTGCCCAGGAGAAGGGAATGGCTACCCACTCCAGTATTCTTGCCTGGAGAATCCCATGGACAGAGGAGTCTGGTGGGCTCCCATTGTGTCATTTAACACATCTGGCTTAAGAAGGCTTGACTTGGGAGAAAAGGCAACTTCAAAGGAGGGAGGGTTTAGCCTCCATCATCCAGGTAAAGCTAAGTGTGGTCCAGTGTTTCAATGCGGTATGCCCAGGTTTGCAATCACTGAAATTAAGGCACTGACAACAAAATATCCTTTCTCCACCACAGAGCAATTCACGAAAAATGTAGTAAGCATTTTGTATCAAAGCCTACACACAAATTATACTGCAGGAGGTTAAGCATTTTTATGTAAAATAACTAGGCCAAATCACTGTATTTTAAAAATTTCATCTCTAGTACCATTTGTACATTTAAACCACTTTCATTACTCAAGGATAGAAGGACAAAACTGATCTCTTTTAAAATGTCAAAGAATTCAATGGGGTTAGAAATAAAACCTTATAAAATAGATCTTTTAGAATTTTATTTCTTGGGAATATGATTTCCAAGGATACAGTCTGTCAGAGATTTTTATTTTTTGTCTACAGAGAAAACAAACGCTTCAATGGAGGACTTTCCCACTTGCGTGGCGCTGCCGTGCACTTGGCACAGGGCTTTTTTTTTTTTAGTTCTACCACTTTATTGCTACCAACCCATCTCCCTCCACCCTCGTGCATACATGCTCAGTCATGTGACCCCATGGACTGCAGCCCGCCAGGCTCCTCTGTCCATGGACTTTTCCAGGCAAGAATACTGGAGTGGGTTGCCATTTCCTTCTCCAGGCACAGGGCTTTTATTAGAACATGAGCATCGCCTCTGCCAGCGACCTTCAGATTGGTTACCACCTACGTATCAGGCACTGCTGGAAGCAAGTGCTTTACTTCAATAATCTCACAGGCTGCTCACAAGTACCTCATCATCATAATGAGGTAGGAAACGTCATCGCCTCCTTCTTACAGATGCGAAAGCTGAGGCACTGAGCCGTTCGACAGCTCACCCGCAGTCACAAGACTACCAAGGGGTGTTCCCAGAAGTGCGGTGCCAGCAGGATCAGCCGCTGCGCCAGGTTATACTGTCTCCTTACAATCTTCTGCTGGCTTTCGAGTTAACGTTACTCTCAGAAAATAAAAAATGCCGGTGTACTGGTTTTTCCATGACCTCACCATACCATTTCTGTAAAAACTCCTTTTTTCCCTCCAATGAAATCTTAGGCTGAACCTTAATAAATAAGAGATAAAAGCTGGTTTCTCTATTGAGGTCTCAAGTGGAATGTTATCCAAATCCCCTATCTATTGGTGAAGGAAAATCTGAATTCAGGAAACTACGACAACAACGGCTACAGTGTTTTGAGGCTTTAGCATGCCAAACACATGGGTGGTTATTTTATCTTAACTTATCCAGTAACAACCGCACTAACTTAGTCTATCCATTGTATACATCCTTTCTGGCTTAGGAAAGCGAAGTAACTTGGTCACAGACACACAGCGAGTAAGCAGAAAACACAGACCGTTGAGCCCGGGGTTGGTGAGTCTTGGCTCTGCTGCTTAACCCCCGAGCTACACTGACGAGAGTGATACCAGCGTGAGTGGGGCTTTGGCCCTATGCTAGCCAGGTTCCTTTAACCCCCTTTTCTGTTGAAGTACAGCTCAGCTGCAGCAAGTGATGAATGTAGAGAAGTGTTAGGTGGGGTGGACACTAAGCCAAGGAGTTACTCTACATCCTGGTTTATCTACATAACTGAAATCTTTATCCTTATTATCTTCAAGGATAGGTAACAAATAGGTCAGTTATTCCTGTTTTTAGATTGTGTTTTTAATGCTTATATATGTTTAAAAATTGAATTACATATGTTCTGTCCTGCTAATTTTTATTTCCTTCACAAACCCAGGGCAACATAATGCAGAAGGGCATCAGCGTGAGTGCCCATGCTCTCCACGCTGACGCTGCTCTTCTGACACTCCTGTGGCTCTGGCTCTGCCTCCCCTGCCCCCACAGTACTCCTGGTCCCGGGCTGCCAGCTGGACGTGAGGGCACAGCCCAGGGGACATGCCTATGCCCTCGGCCTCTGCCACACTCACACTGAAAGCAGAGGTGTCGGGGTTGGGGATATTCACAATACTTCAAAATATAATGCAGTCACCCTGTTAAGACATGAATCAGTAGTATTTAAACATTTTTCTAGCTTTTTGAAAAAAAAATATTTATTTTTATTTAGCTGCACCAAACCTTTGTTGTGGCATGTGGGATCTAGTTCCCTGACTTGGGATTGAACCCAGGCCTCTTTATTCTGTATTTCAAGTTGATGTTTTTATTTTGGGGCAAAGCTTCAGTATAAGATAAACTCTTCTTGCCAGAACTTTTAATATTTCTGGTTCTCAAGTTTGCAGGGGCAATTAAAAGGTTTGATTTATTTAAGTTTTGATTTAAAAAGCTAAAAAGGATTTAAAGTCAAGGTGATAATGCTAATAAGAAATGAGAGTAAATAATCAAATTCATAATTCTTCATATAATTCCCTGTTAAAATACTTCACCAATCTCAAAACTCATATTGGTAAATATTTTTTCCTTGCACTTAATTACTTCTGGGAAACTTTTAGAAGCCTTTTCCTGTTTAAGCCATCTATGCACTTAACAACTGAGTCATTACTTTATATGCTCATAAATTAAGATTATGTTATTAAAACATCAGAATAATGTTGAAGTTCCAAATCTGACAGATTTACTTTGCTGATTCACTTGCGTAGCAATTATAATCCTTATTACTTAAGAAGAAACTCATTTAAAACTTAAGATTTTAAGATTTCCCCCATCCTATATACAGTAATGTGCTAAATCTGGAAAGAAATTAGCTTTTTCTTCCATTAAAAATTCTACTTTGAGTATCTTTGTTTCTTTGTTGTTAGGTGTCTAATGATTTATGATGTCTATCTTCTTTGTGAATTGTACCTTTTATCATTAAAAAATATTCATCTTTGTTTATTTAATTAAAAAACTCTACTTTGAGAACCTTAAGTAATTCTATCAAGTTTGCCTCATCGTATTAGTCTAATTAGAAGTAAAAAGGCTAAAAAAAGGAATTATTGAAGTAAAGTAACTGGAAAGATATAGAAGCCAAACTGACTTGGTTAAGCAGTGGCATCCTGACTGCAGGTCTGGAAACGTCACTTTCCTGGCACCTGGATGTTATTACATGACATTGCAGGGAGCACACCTCTGAGAAATATGGCTCAGAGAGTGACAGCTGGCTAACCCATCCTTGTGGCGACGCCCATCAAAAGAAAATCACCAAAGAAACGGCTTATTACTGACAGCATACTCTCTTTGAAGAATCTTTACTATAAATGTAGTGTTCTTAATATATTTAAATGAAAGAATCAGAAAAAACATTAACAAAATTTACTGTTAGTATTTTTGTGGAGGTCCATCTTTAACCTGGGCTTCCCTAGTAGCTCAGATGGTAAACAATCTGCCTGCAAAGCAAGAGACCTGGGTTCAATCCCTGGGTCAGGAAGATCCTCTGGAGAAGGAAATGGCTACTCAATCCAGTATTCTTGACTGGAGAATTCCATGGACAGAGAAGCCTGGAATGCTATAGTCTGCTGCTGCTAAATCACTTCAGTTGTGTCCGATTCTGTGCAACCCCATAGACGGCAGCCCACCAGGCTCCCCCGTCCCTGGGATTCTCCAGGCAAGAACACTGGAGTTGGTTGCCATTTCCTTCTCCAATGCATGAAAGTGAAAAGTGAAAGTCGCTCAGTCGTGTCCAGCTCTTAGTGACCTCATGGACTACAGCCTACCAGGCTCCTCTGTCCATGGGATTTTCCAGGCAAGAGTACTGGAGTGGGGTGCCACTGTCTTCTCCGGGGCTATAGTCTATTGGATTGCAAAGACTCGGACACAACTGAGCAATTAACACTTTCATCTTTAACTGTGTCTTGGTAGAACTTAACTTATTGATTGTTCTCATGTGTCTCACTCACCATATATTTTCTTGTTAAATTTTAGTTCCCACCAAAAGGCCAGAAAATACCATGCAACAGTTAGAAAATGGAAGCAAACATGTGGAATTATTCGGGTACAACTTTTTATACTCCAAACACACACACACACACACATATTTTACATATATGAATATACAATTTGATATCTGGTCACTGCAGCTCTTGTAGTCAATGAAACAAAATCATACAAGATAGGTTAAGAATTCTACTAAGAACAATACTGTTTTGAGACATGGAAGTAAAGACATTAAGTTAATTAGTCATATGGAACTAAGGAATGAAGATCAAATCCATCTTTTATTACAAGAATAAAACTTTTCAACAGTCCATTTGCCATGCCTTTCTCTGTTTTTCAACCTAACTTGTACAACAAAAAGACAAGGGGATAATTACAAAAGCGAAGATAAGTATCTTACCATAGACTCCTTTGTCTAAAAGCAGTAAAAATTCATCCACAGCGTTACGCATCTCATATTCAGTAAGATCCAACAGTGAAACGACTTTGAAATCTAGCTGTCTTAACAAGTTGGTCAGTTCATACACATCCACCAAAGGAGCTTTAAGCTTGGGATGCTCCCAATAATTCATATTTCCTATCAAAAGAGCAACCTTGTCTTTTGCTGTTTATAAAAAAAAAAGAGGAGGGGGAGACATTTAAAGGAGGATATAAAAAGTAAAAATAAAACTCAATAAAAAGAATGCCTTATTACAAATAAGATTTCATTATTTCATTTAATTTAAAGCTATCACTTTACATAGTAGAGCAATGCACTCTACTGAGGAATACAGAAACTGGTGAGTCAAACAACTGAGATTAAACTTAACTGATACTTTGGGAAATCAGGCAAAGGATATTAGTTGTACATGGATAGTAACAGTAACTAACATTACAGTAACATTTTTACTGATTTATAACAGAAGGAAAGAATGCTCAGTATAGACATTTAGAGCAAATTTAAATAATGTTTGGAATTGGGTTCCCATCAAATTAAGTTCTGTTCTGCTGATAATGGAAGAGGCCAGAAACAAAAGAAATACCGAAACAAGGGACCGGGAGAATTCCCATCAGAGCAGGTAAGGGGAAATACCAAAGGTAGAGAAGTCGGGAGTTGAACAAACACTGCATTTTCTATTTTCTGTTGCTGTACTATCTTCTCTTAGTTCTTAAAAAAAAACCTCCCATTTGGGTGAGATGTGGCTGCCTCAGGGAGGTGTGAAGAGTTTTTATATGACTATCTTAGCAGTTCATTTTCTGACCTTAGTGAACTGAGGCTTTCCTAAAGACGTGGTCTCATACAGAGAGCTTTTCTGTTTTAAGGGGCAAAAAGATCCACGTTCTGCGTGCTCAGTCATGTCCAAATCTTTGCAACCCATCACCTGCAGCTGCGCCAGACTCCTCTGTCCACTGGTTTCTCCAGGCAAGAATACTAGAGTGCATTGCCATTTCCTCCTCTGAGTGATCTTCCCAACCCAGGGATTAAACCCACATCTGCTGCATCGGCAGATGATTCTTTAACTACTGAACCACCCGGGAAGCCTAAAAAGATGCTTTAAAAGTACCTGCGCCTTTAGAAATATCAGCTGGTTTATTTGGTATACGGTTTGTCCAAAAGAGTTGTGGAAGGCTGAGCCTAGTCTAGTGCTTAAGAGGTCCTCAGAACTGTACTCTTGCTAGCGGGGGTGGAGTTAAAAGTAAAGACTTGAGACTGGATGATACCAAAAATCTGAGGTTCCTCTTGAGGGCTGTCAGTGGGGTGTGCCCAGCGCACACTGGGGTCTAAATCTGTGATGGAAACAGCAGGGGGCAGCGGAGCAGGTGTAACAGGAGGGTGTGGCAGCCCCGGCTGGCTGGCTGGAGAGCTGGCTGGGACGTGGTGACCAACCTCGTCCAACCTTAGTCACAAAGTGCTAAGTAGATTACTTGTAAATGGACATGAAACAGGCACAGTCACAGCGCTGACTCAGTGTTACAATACGTGATCTGATTTCAGGTCTTTAAGATGACTAATGTCACCAAAAATCTCTTTGGAATTTCTTCCTTTTCCACACTAAGGTCGAGGGTTAAACAAGGTCTGGAGAAAAATTAGCACCGACTCAAAGACAGTGACTCCCTCAAAGTGGCAAAACACTCCACTTTGTGAGAAGACTCAAATACTTTTTTTTTTTTGGCCTCACCATGCAGCTTGCGCGTTCTTAGTTCCCCCGCCAGGGACTGAACCCTGGGCCCTCTGCAGTGAGAGTGTTGAGTCCTAACCACTGGACTGTCAGAGAATTCCCCTTGTTTGGTATCTTTGTTCTATATTCGCATTTTCAGAGCTGCCTTGCAAACTGCCTTTTCTTATGAGAATCCACATTAAAAAAAGAATGAAACAACACATAAGCCACATTTCTGATTCAAAGTCACTTTAAGTCCTGTACAAATGATAATCTCTTCTCCTATCCCAAAGAAAAGGCCAGTTTTCAAGACTATTTTAATAAACAGGCAAATTCAGACATAAAGCCTCTACTGTCTTTCATTTTAAAACTCAAAAAAAAAAAAAAAAAAGTTGAGAATACTCAGGGTGGATTTCAGTTAGGAGGCAGTATAAAATTTATTATCACTTATATTTCCTTTTTTTTGAAAGTTTCTTCTTAAATAAACTAGAAATGTACTGTTACACTAATTTACTCCCTGTATACCAAGTCGTTAGCTGGCTAATCCTCAGAAATATTTCAGAGCATTGTTTTCTGAGCCCATTAACCCTATCAGAGTTCAGAGCCAATCTTCATATACTGATGGACTCAGGCTCGGTTCAGCCTGCTCCTCAGTGAGAGGAGCTGGAGACTGGGGCCGGGCTTTCACCATCACAGCCCCAATCAGGGGCTTCCCAGTGACCGTCTTGGAGTAAAGTATCTGTGCTGCAGGGCGGATTTCTTGGTGGGATATTGTGACATTTTAGTATATATCCTACACTGGGATAGTACGACAATTTAGTATATGTCCTACACTGGGATATTGTGACAATTTAGTATATATCCTACATTGGGATACTGTGACAATTTAGTATATATCCTACACTGGGGTATTATGACAATTTAGTGTATATCTTACATTGGGATATTATGACAATTTAGTATATGTCCTACACTAAGTTCTACTGGCAGAAAAAAGTTATGAGATATGTAACTGAAAAAAATCACTGGGGTCTTTAGAGGGAGGAAACAGTTGTTAGACTAAGCATACAGGCTGCCTCTGCTAAGATCACTGCTTTTGTCATCTGTTTGGAAAGGACACTTGGTGCAGTACATAGATGCAAGGGTTTAGCCACTTGAGAACCATGGGGCTTAAAATCTGTGTGTCAATAATTGACCATAACTCTTCAAAAACTTTCCCCCAGTGATAATGTGGGATCTTCATTCCCCAACCAGGGATCAAAACTGCACCTCCTGTGTTGAAAGTGCAGAGTCTTAACCAACGGACCTTCAGGAGTCCCCCAGTGAATACTGTTAACAGTTTCTAAAATGTTTTGGAGCATCTTCTTGAGTTTGGTAATAAATATGATGGGTCAGTAACTTACCTTGCCCACTCTACTTGCAAAACAGTTCCTGAACGATAGTTGAACTGGGGTGGATTTAAAACAGAGAAGTAGACTGCAGTGGCCAAAATAGGAGATGACAAAGTCTGGTTCCAGGAATTAGCAGCAGAAAGGGAAAGAAAAAGTCAGAGATATGACAGAGAAAGAAACAGTAAAATTTGAAGTTGAGGAGATAAGAGTGAGGAATCAAAGAAAACTTCAAAATAACAACTATATAAGCAACTTATGATGGGTTTTCAAGTGATTAAAAATAAATGAAACTTTCTGTAGAAAAACATTTACTGTAAGAGCCACCCACAATTTCTTGAACACATACCATTCACTGGAAAAAGGGGACATAAACACCAGTTGATTAAGCAACAGAATAAAAACCACTTCAGAAGGGTATTTTAACTGTATGATCCTAGATATCTTCTAAAGCTTAATGAAATGTATTGTTTAAAAACCGGTACAAGTTACACCATTAACTCCATGTCTGATTATTCTAATGGTGTGCTACTCATTTCATCCAAAAATGAGTTAATGTTTATAAGCGAGTGGAAAAGGACCTGGCACACACTGAGCGCTCCGTTAGCATCTGTTAAATAAAGAGCCTCTAGCCATCTAGCGGCGACTGAGTACTGACAGCAGGTCTGAGTGGACAGACAGTCCTTGGTGGTCCCATGCATCACATCTTTCTATGTCCTTCAAAGTAAAGTCCCGGCTCCTCAGTCTGGTGACAGAGCCATTCCTATTCTAGCCCAGTCTGCCTTTCTGGCTGTGGTTAGAGACGGCCCCCGAGGGTAGCCCCTCACTGTTCCCTGCCTTTACGCAGTGTGGCCCCTCACCCTGCCCCCTGTCCCCGGCTCCAAGTCTGGGGTGCCCTGTGATTCTCTTTGAACTAATGCAGTGGGACACTCTGCCAGTTCTGGGTCTAAACCTTCAGAAGTCCTGAGAGCTTCCAGTTTGGGGACTCAGCCACTGTGCAAAGAAAGTCAATTACCTGGTGAGACCACGTGGGGGAGGAGAGGAGAGAGTGAAGCAGACTGAGAATATCACAGGACAGGAAAACAGGGGACCATATGCCCTTTGAAGGGAACAGCTATTATTTAGTCACAACAGACAGCTGTCACTCAAAAGCTACCATTTTTGAGAGAACCTATAAACCTGAATTTGTATACGTTATCTGATCACTGGCAGGTGATTCTGTTTGAAACCACTGTGTGGGACCCCCTCCCCCAGTTAGTGCCCTTTCTCCACAGCCTGAACGATCCCACGGGTGCTCCCCTCCGTGGGGTCGGCCTTCACCTCCATGCGGGTGATGCCTGTGACTGTGTCTCTGAGCCTGGCCTCTCCCGGAGTTCCAGACCCAGGTGTGCAAAGGCCTGCTGTGTACCTCCGCCTAGACATGACACACCCCTCAGACTGGTTAGGGCGCAGAATAAGAGCCCGCTGCTCTCTGCATCTTGCTTTTGCTCCTGTGTTCTCTAACTCAGTGGGCTGTCTGACCACCTGCCGAGTGGCCCAAGCAAGAATCTGAGCAGGCATGGTGACACCTCTGTGTTCTTTATACCCAAGAGTGAGGTGATGAAAAAAGCTTTACAGATTCCAGCATCTCAAGGTCTCCTGACTTGTTCTCTGTCTTCTTCTGCACTGTCTTGGTACTAGCCTGGTTTAGATTCTCATCATTTCTTTATCTGGACTATTGCAACAGTCTCCATTTTTCTCTTAACTTAAACAATGTCTCCCTTCCAATTCATTCTCTATACACTGATACAAGACTGGCCTTTCAGAGGGACAAGCTCACTCCTCTTTCAAAGCTTCCTTCCGATGGCTCGTCTGAGAAATGGGGCTCCTCGCGACCTGGTCTTAATATGCTTCTCTAAGTTCTAGCTCTTCCTGCTCTACAGCAGGGGTCCCCAACCTTCAGGATCTAATGCCAGATGATCTGAGGTGCAGCGGATATGATTAATAATGGAAACAAAATGCAGAATAAGCGTAATGTGCTTGGATCATCTCCAAACCATCCCCCTACCTCCGGTCCATGGAAAAACTGTCTTCCATGAAACAGGTCCCTGGAGCCAAAAAGGCTGAGGACCGCTGCTCTGTGGGCATTGTGTGTTACTTGCAACTTTCCCAATACTACAAACATCCTGTTTTCTTTCTCTACGATGTTTATTCAGGATTTCACGTTTCCTCTGTCTGGAAGGCCCTTCTCCTATTCATCCTTCGACATGCAGAACTGCTACTGCAAACTCTCATGCTTTCCTAACTGCTAACCCCACCAAGATGCAGTATCACTCACTTCTGTGTGACCTACACACGCTTCTTTTTGCTTACATGTTTATTTTTTTGCACATTGCCAAACCAGAAATCACTCCACAGAAGCTGACCTGGACCCAGAAACTGAATTCATAATCTTTTTAATCTTTTTTTTAAAAATTTATTTATTTATTTGGCTGTGATGGATCTTAGCAGTGGCACGAAAACTTTCAGTTGCAGCATGCTGGATCTAGTTCCCTGGCCAGGGATTGAACCCAGGCCCCCTGCATTGGGAGCATGAAGTTTTAGCTACTGGACCACCAGGGAAGTCCCTCATAATCTTTTCAAAGTCTCCTATTCTATAATTTCTTTTATAAACTATCCAAAATAGAATACATTATTCAAATATTTATACAAGTTGTCAATTTAAAAAAGTCTCAAATCCCTTCATAAGCCCCATCAAAGAGTTGTGTCCTACAGTTATATTTGGTTATGGGGCTTTCCTGGTGGCTTAGATGGTAAAGAATCTGACTGCAATGTGGGAGACCTGGGTTAGATCCCTGGATCAGGAAGATCTCCTGGAGAAGGAGTATTCTTGCCTGCAGAATCCCATGGATGGAGGAGCCTGGTGGTTTACAGTTCATGGGTCGCAGAGGGTCAGACATGCCTGAGTGACTAACACTTTCACTTTCAAAGCATTTTAAAGCTCTACTTACCCAAAGGTTGGTCAACTGTATGCTCTTGATTATCTACAGAAAGATAAAAACAAAAAGATAAGTGAGTTGTTATCCATGACACATCTTTGGGGTTAGAGAGAGATGGGAACAATGAAGAGTCACATTAGCAGTACACCAAAAGGCAGAATGTTTACAGCTAGTTTATGATTTTGAGGTTTTCAGGTTCTTGATTAAAAACTTGCACCTGGACAGGAGTCGGAATCAGGGTGAGGGAATGGCTCTAGTAACTGATTACTACAGCTGAGGGTGATATTCTTTAACATGTTAAGTAGAAGTTACAGCCTGAGAACGGTTGGTGGTGGCCATGAAGAGCAGCAGGAATGGTCACTACTTACTGAATGCTGGCTGGGACTGCTGTATGTGTTGTGAATATAACTGGTTTAAACAACCACACTTTGTGAGGTATGTACTATTATCACCTCCATTATATAGGTAAGGAGTCTGAGGCAGAGAAAGACTGAGTCACTTGCCCAGTATTCTCAAGCTAGGAGATCTCATTCCATGATCATGCTCTTTGCCATCATCTATACATAATATGAAATACCTCCAAGTCTCAGGGACCATGCAGGAAGACACACTGGGGAAGATGGACTTCAGAGAGTCAGGTGTCTCTTGCTACAGACAGGATAAGTGCATTTTTAATAATATATATGCTATAAGAGTCCACTGAAAGTATATTCAGTTTTTTCTTAAATGCTTTGGTGTTTCTAATTCTTGGGGAGCAAGGATATAATGAAAAAGGTTGGGAAAATTTTCAGAATTTTAGTGGTGTTGGTATGCAAAAGTTTTCCTGAAATAGCTTTCCATGATGCTCACTGAAGGGCATGAAATGACAGACACATTCAGGAAAAGGGGAATTCTAACCAAGTCAAGAGAAGCAACAGCTACAACACGAGGATGGCTGTCTCAACGGCACTTCGTTCTGTGTTTGAAGCAAGTCTCACGGAGCTTTTCTGGAGCTCGAGGCTGGCCCAGCAGGAACGACACTCTGCTAACAGTGCCCCTCTGCTCTGTCTCATGGGCTTATGGTAATCAGCACAGCCCAGTCATCGCACACAAGAGGAAACGCTTAGTAACAAAACACAGGTGCAAAACTAAGCGAACTAGTCACGGTGTTAAAACGAGAAGGAACACATCAAGAAATAAAAGGGATCTCTACAAGTATTAACTGATGTAACTCCCGTCTCATCCCACTCTCTAGAGGTTTTATTTTCAGAGTCAGAGGTTCCCTCGGTGCCTTTCGGAATGCCCACAGCCCGGACTCAGGTCCTCTGTCTTCACGATTACTATGCCTTTCATCTCAGGCAAGCCTGCCCTTTAGCTTAACTTGTTCAGAAATCAGTTCTCACAAAATTGGCCAAAGGATGATAAATATTCCTGCCAACTATCAGTCTCTTCATGGCCAATGACCAACCACCCGTCTGCAGGGCACCAACAGCCCCAGTGACAATAGTTTTATTCCGATACAGACACCCACCCAACTGGTTCAGACATGTTCAATGTCCGGGCAGCTCTGAACGAGGACCCAGGGGTCTGGCGAGCTCCGAAATGTTACTCCTGTCACTTTTTCATAGGCTGCTTCTTGTCTCTCAAATTAATTTCATGCATTTCTCCATTTAGCTGCCTTTTTTATTTATAGTCATTCACAATGATAAAGAAATACACTGATATTTTATATTGCCTCAGTATATTTATTTTTCTACCCTATCATCTTACAATTTAGAGTATTTTTAATATTTTCACTTGCATGAAATTGAACTTCATGTTAAGTACTGATTTCAACACTAAATTATGATATTTTAATCAAGGAAAAAAAGAAAACCCATTAGTACTGCTACAGCAAAAGAATACCAATAGTGTCTTTTTAAGTTACTGCATTCAATAATCTGGAACTCTAAAATGAATGTTTTATGTTTGCATTACTCACCAGGATGCCCAAGATTAGTTAATTCATCTAAAATAAAAAAAGAGAAAACAGATTAAATAATCTTTAAATAATTTAACTGCCAATTTAGTGCATATAGGAAGACTTATCAAAGAAGTTGACTTTATGCTATTAAATTGTGTTACAATGCTTTATCAGGTTAGAATTTTTTAAATGCCTTAAATGAGAAGTCATGCACATTGTGAGGAGGGGAGTATGCTGCTGTGGACATCAGTTAGGACTCCTAATCTATTACTATGTTCATGAAATGACAAAAAGCTAAACAGACTCATCTTTAATTTGATCAAAGTTTTTTTTAGATGTTCTGGCCAATTATGGGACAAAAACAATCAAGAGACAGGTTTGTCTATGGCCTCAACTATACACTTCTTGAAACTAATTAAAAACCTCAAATGATATTTTTAAAAATAAACTTAAGTTTAGAACAGGTTAAGATATATAAAACTACTGTGAGGACAGTGCAGGGTTTCTGCATACACCCACCTACTTTCCCTATTTTTAACATCTGACGTTAGGAAGGCATATTTGTCATAGTTAATGAACCATTAATGTTCTTTTTTTGCTCCAGGACCCTGTTCAGGACACCACGTCACATTTACCTGTGTTTTCTTGGGCTTCTCTTTGTTGTGACAATTTCTCTGACCTTCCTTGTTTTTGATAACCTTGATCACTTTGAGGATTACTGATAAGGTAAGGTACTTTGTAGAATGTCTCTAAATCGGGATATAGCTGATGTTAGACTGGTAGAATGTGTTTTTAAAGGTACTGTGGTTTCAGAATTGTTAACCTGTAGCCCCTTGGTGGCTCAGATGGTAAAGAATCTGCCTGCAATGTGGGAGACCTGGGTTTGATCACTGGGTGGGGAAGATCCCCTGGAGGAGGGCATGGCAGCCCACTCCAGTGTTCTTGCCTGGAGAATCCCATGGACAGAGGAGCCTGGTGGGCCACAATCTGTAGGGTTTCAAAGAGTTAGACACGACTGAGCGACTACACACAGCACACAGCCTCTGGCTAATGGAGGGAGAGAATCATCTAAGCAAATACCTATGACATTAGAGCTACCTATGTTTCCTTTACAAATTTTATGAAGATAAAAGTTAACATTCACAATAAATTACAAATGCTATACTACTTATAAAATGTGCAGTAATTTCTGTGATATAAAACCAATTACACAGTGGTATTCGCTAGAGTACGGGGTCATGTACAATTTCTTTTGTCTTCTGTGTTCACTCCTTCCCAGGTACTCAGGCTAGCACCTGTTCTTCCATCCCATGTCAGTGAGGCTGCTTCACCCACTTGTAACAGGTTCAGATTCTTATTATCTGGCTGTGCTGTGTCTTCATTCGTTGCTGCGCGAGGGCTTTCTCTAGCGTGGCTCACAGGCTCTAGAGCAAGGCTCAGCAGTCGTGGCGCACGGGCTGAGCTCCTCCGAGGCATCTGGGATCTTCCCGGATGAGGGATCGGACCTGTGTCCCCTGCTCTGACAGGTGGGTTCTTAGCCGCAGAACCACCCAGGAAGTCCAGGTTTAGGTCCTTCTGTCATACTCTCATTCCATTCTGGGGTTGCCCTCCTCTGACCTCCTAAATGACCTAAAACCTGCATACATGTGTTCACCACTGCAGCTGTCAGAGTGTTTTCACTGCCCTTAAAAAAACCCTGAACTCCACCTATTGAACCCCTACCCTCTCTCCCAATCAGGGATCTGTAACAAAGCACATAAAATGAAACAGATCACATCAGGCTCTACAGTAAGAAAGATGAGGTGTGTGTGCCATAGGACATCACTGCTGTGTGCCCATCCACCAACTATAACATGCCTCAACACTGCAGATTTTTTTAGAAAGAAAAGTTGGATCTAATTTTTCCATCTGAAATTTTGAGAATAATTTCGTAACAGATTTATTTGAAAATTATTATCTAATAGTGTGTTTGCCACTGCAAAATTATAGGGAGAATCTTGCAGGTAAAAAACCAGCAACGTGGTAACTGACATGCATCACCCTGAAACTAGCGATGCTAGTTTGCATTTATTCTTAGAGGTCTGCAAAGTTAGGAGATTTTAAAAATCATGCAATTAGGTGAAAAAGAAGGAAGAGTTTGCTTAGGATCTCTTTACAAAGATTCCCTCATGCAGGGCCCACAGACCACGGGATTACAACACTCCCTCATGCTACAGGAATTCTTGTCAGCAGCTATGATTGGGATGAAAACAGTAATTTCAGAACTTCAGAGTGACACCATAGCAATACAAAGGACAGGGAAACCAAGAAACATAAGAGGTGACATTATTTTCTTTTCTTACTTTGCCCAAGTAGAGCCAAAGATTTTTATAAGAGGTTAAAGAGGCAGAAATTGAAAAAATACTTTGCTATCCACAAATCTAATTTTGCAAAACAGTGTGACACCACACTAGGGGGGCAGGTAAGTTAAGTTTTAAAATTTATTCATTACAACTTATGTGCAAGGCATTGGTTAATAAAAAAAAATTCGAAGTTTATGTTAAAATAACTTTCAGTTCTCTGTGTAGTATGGTAAAGGTGACATGGTACCTTAATCTATAGTCTTATAACTTCAAAGAATGGATCTTATAAACTTATATTAAAACAGTATACTTATTATTAAATAAAAAAATGCATTAAACAATAAATTTCCAGTCCTGAAACTGTTACAGAAATTATGTTTGCATTTGAGAGGCATTTTATCATGGCAAACAGATAAAATAATCTAAACAACTATCCATGACAGGATAGCCATGTATTTTTCTAAATTTTATGAAGATAAAAATGAACATTAAGAATTAATCACAACTGTTCACTATTTGTAAGATATTGCTGGAAATTAGTTATTTTAATAATGTGTCAATTGAATAGTGTCTGGGGCAATTTATGAACCCTTGAAGACTAACATACAGTATCCTTGCATTAAAATCTTGTTTTTTTTTTTAATCTTTTCTTATAGCTAGTATTTTTTCCATCACTGCACTCAGTAGACCAGGGCATTCCACCAATCCCAAGATGAGCCAGCATGCAGGATATTTGCTTTCAAGCCAAAGGATTACACTACCTTCAGTGCATTCCACTGCCTCATCTGTTCTTCCTTGTTCCAGAGAAAACAAATGTGAATACATTGTGATTCATGATCTTAGGAAGGGCGGCCATCAAGCAAAGAAATAAATATCATAGAAATATGTTGGCAAACCAACATACACATCAATTGCATCAATATCTCCTACTATAACAACATCACTAAATGCATGAAGCTGAAATAGAACCAACTCCCAAATTATGTACTTCGTAAGTAGCACTGTTGATTAATAATCATTCTGCATATGTCTGTGATGTTTGTTTCTTTAATAATGTTTTATTAGAAACCTTTTCCAATTAAACCCAGGGTTATTTTTAGCTAAAGCAAGGAATACATTTTTTGCCATAAATGTTTAATATAAACTATAAAATTAAAAAGATCTAAATAAATAATCTTTTTTGGTTCTTTCCTGTTCTTTGTGTGTGAATCCTCATTATGAATTTAGGATACACTCTAATTTCCATTTAAGCAAAATAACTCCAGACACTTAACATACCATCAAGTAGAATGGGTGAATAAAACTGCTGCTGCTCAGTATACTTCATCGTATATAATCAGAACCCTGAGCGGTACTGCTTACCTACGATGACGTCTGCTTTCTTGCTGTCTTGACTCTCTCGATCATTATATACACGACACCAGTAGGTTCCTTGATGCTCCAAATCCACATAAGGTACCTAAATCAGTATCAGAACATGCACATATTGACTGACTCTTTAATTTTAATGGCTTGGAGAAAATTATTATTATTATTATTTTAAACCCTACAAAACTGAACACTGCAGACTTCCTCCATTTTTTCCATTCATTATATGAGCTCAAGTATTAGCAAGCAAATAATACAATGAATCTAATGGTAAGTGAGTCTGATGGGATACTAGTTGACATTTTTCATATATAAGCACTTACATATGGGCTGGCATTGTGTTCTAGCCCTTTTGCTAGAAAATCAATTAATATTAGATAATAAAGAACTTGAAAAAATACAAAAAACTTGAAAACACCCCAAAGAATATGAATCACTACTCACTGTGATTTTCCATTATACTACTTACTTTACATATTAACCACCCCAAATGTCCCCGAGACCAACTTCCTACCATGTATAGCTTTTTTGTCTCGTGTGTTAATCGGGATTCATTCTTGAACCACTGGTACTGAGGAATGGGGCTTCCAACAGCCACACACTGTAAGATCAACGTGCTGCCAGGCATCAGTTTTTGGGACTTTGGTTCAACACAGATTTGCAACTTGGATTCAGAGATGCCATCCCAACTGCCTTAAATTAAAAGAAAAATAGCACTGAACATAAAATCTCGATTAAAAAAACTTTTAAAACTTTATAATTAAAAAAATACTTTCAAGTTCATCCTTCATTTTTTTTCATGATCTTTAATACAATCTCCCAAATGATGTTTCAGAAAACTGCTGCACTTCTAGAAATATTAAGAGATGTTCTATGGATAAAAGAATGCTATAGACAAATCAGTTTAGAATATTCTGGGTTAAACAAAGTTAAACAGGTTTCTTTACTGCAGAACCTCTCAAAAGTATTTGCATGTACTAAATAGTTAAGAGGAGAAAATAGTTCAAGTGGTCTCTAGATGTGCTAGCCATTTCTGGTAGAGCGAAGGACTTAACATCTTGCGTGACATTCGTGTTTAAAACAGAGAGCTCTTGTTCTGCTGTTTGATTTAACTTGCCTTCTTAAAATGAGGAGTTTTGTTATATGGATGGGTTATCACTAGCATTTCTTCCCAAGGCAGATATCATAAAGCGTTTTTTATTGAAGGCTCATCTGTCAGTCTTAAAAGCCTTGAGGACAGAGGGCTTGTCAATGAGATGTGGTAACAATGAAATTCTGTGTCTAGCACACTGCCGGTGATCAATAATATTTGTTGAATGAACAATATTCTATTCATAAACATGAAAGTTCACAGAAATATTCTAAAAAAATATAAACCACTCTCTTAATTAATCATGACTATTTCTAGAGACTTTATTCAGGTGTGAGAAAAGCTAAACTGAGAAGAATGGAAGACACAATTGGCAACAAGTCTGTTTCCCTCATGCTTTTTGTCTGGCAAAAATGACAAACATGGTTTTTGACTGTGTGTGTGAATAAATAAAATACCTGATGGCTACTCTTTAGAAGATCCTGGGGTTTTTCCTTGATCAATACTAGTTATTATACTAAAAAGCGGATGGCAAAGAGTTGAAAACTAGCTGGATGAAAGGCTTCATTGCAGTGACTGATACACTATAAGCCCTGTCATGCCAGTACCGACTCTACAGATAGTCTTTATTCTATGACACAACTTTTTAGGAGTAATCCAATAGTTTGGGTGAAAAAAAAAAACACAGTATAGACAGGAACTCAAAAGTGAGCAAGACTGCAGTAGATTTCTTTTCTCCTCCAAAATCAGAGACCACGACATTCAGACCCATGAAAGGCAGTAAGTTTTCAGAGACCAGCAGCAGGGCGAGATTGAGAAAGGTCATTTTATCCCCAAACATCTGCATGTCTCTCTTTGTCTGTCTATCTCTCTATCCATCCATCCATACAGAAAAAGCATCAAAGCACATGAGATAAAATCTTAATGACTGGTGACATTATACTGGGGGAAGTACATATACATTATATTGGGTGAGTACTAGCTTTGATACTTTGAAATGATTTAAAAGCAAACATTTAAAGTAAAATTCAAAAGAGGCAACTCCCATCCCAGCACTCAATTTATCACTTACTCCGGAAGCTTTCTGTTACTTCTGTGACATCGCAAACATCCAGCTGTGACCACTGGCTAAATTCAAAGGTGAAATTATTATTAACTCGACAGACATAAAAGCCTGCATCTTTTACATGCACTGTGTTAAAAACAAGTTCAGATGCATTTCCATTTGGAATCTGTGAAAGAATCAACAAGAGGATAAAAGTGAATGACTCATCAAAATACACCTTATAAACTGTGCTGTGCAAAATGTATGATTTCCTGGGAGCTCTGAAAGTTGTATCTTTTTTCTCCGCATTCTAAAATATCTGTCCCTTAAGAAGCAAACAATAACGTGTTAAGTAATTTAGGACTGAAGTCAGTGAAATCCAGTATTTTACACATCTGTTAACTGGAGAGTTAAGCTCTATCCCATATATCTCTCAAAAACTCACTAACAGCGAAGTGTCTATTCTGTCCTTTAAAATTGTTTGATCATTAGTATTTACAGGCTTGAGAACTGCAACATTTATGAGATCAGTAGCCATACCAGGAAGGAGTAAAGATTGATCACAGAAAGTCCGGCCTGGCTGCTCTTCTCAGTTCTGATCAAATTAGCTGTGAGCATAAGAGCAAGTTTTACCCTGAGACCCCAGTTTCTCATCTGCAAAGTTCTCGTGGAGGATAGAGGCCTTGACGAGCACACTTCTTTCAAGGCCTGGGAGGTGAAGAGCTATGGGAAGCGTGTTGGTGCCAGGAAGGACTGGCCACTCAGGGGCATCCCAAGCCTTCCTCCTGGGCCCGGATCATCTCAGCTGCTCCTGTCAATTTACCACCACCACCCAACTCTGGCATACTGCCAAGGTTTCACTGGGCGCCTCCTTATACAGGAGCCCCCTTGCACAGGAGTTTAACACACTCCCCCTCTCCAAGCCCCAACCAACTGAATTCAGCTCTCTCTCCTCTCAGAACCTGCACCAGAGCAAGACAGTGGTGCTGAAGATCTGACAGCTGGGACAGAGACTGCCCTGAGCGCTGCCTGCCCACCCTCCCACGTGAACCACCTCGTCTGCTTTCCTACTAGAACAGTCCTGGGTACTTTCTCTCCCGCAACCCTACTCCTCTCAGCCACTGACTTCAGATAGGAACTCTCTCCTCTTCCAGCTACCGAACCACAAACCTGAGCCTGTGCCTATTTAGAGCTGCTCTCCTCTCCTGTGAAAATGGAAAAACCTGTCTTCCTAACAAAGGCCTCTCGGGCTTGGGATGCGTGAGGATCCTAACTGCTGGGAACCCCAGAGTTAATATGAAGGTTAGTTCAAGCTGAAGATGTTTGGGACTCAACAGATGCAGAAAGAAGGCTTCTCAGAGCTTTCCTTATCTGACAAAAGCAGCAATTTCTGGGCGATGAGACTACCATAAATTCCCTATTCAGGATGGCTTTTACTTCCAGGAAGGCGATCAAATTCACCATAAATCCCTTCTCCAGGGGTGTTTTACGGCTATGAAGAAGATGGAAAGACCACTTGCACCCACGTGAATAAACATTATCACAAACTTTCTTATCATCTGTCTATTCTCCCAGAAACCCTTCTGTACGTATTTCCTAAAGAAACCCATGTTTCTTCCTGTAGAGGCTCTTTCTTCCTCATCCCTTTTCCTATAATTTTAACCCAGCATGGAACTACTTCTTTTGTAAATTCCCATATGAACAAATTTTCTCTTCTTAACCTGTATTCTGTCAGTTGATTCACTGGCTCCCAGGGACAGGACATGAGAGGGGAGAGGAGAAGTATTTTCCTCTCCAACAATTTGATCCTCTCTGGCCTTACTCCTGCAATTCTCTCTACTTTAGCATCTGTTTCTCTTTTATTAGAGCACTGTCAAAAACATCCTCTAGTACCTTTATATCTTAAATAAACAAAAATAATCCCAAATGTCCTGCCCTGGGCCCACATACCCCTCAGCAGCGCTGGGAACACTGACGCCCTTTTCTTCCTGAAGCGCTTTCCCAAGGGCTCAGACCAGCCTCTCCTGGTCATGCTCTCTCTCTCGCGAATTCTTCTCAGTCTCTCTACTGCTTCCCCCTCTGCCACACACACTCTCAGTGCTGCCTCCTGGGGTATCCAAGCTGACTTAGATGCATTCAGACTTTAATAGGTACTTCAAACTTCACGTGTCTAAACCACACTCTTGATTTCTCACCCTAAATCCCTTCCTCTCCCAGTCTCCAATATCTCAGTAAATAAGAGGTCCCCAGAGGCCGAGGTAAAAACTCTGGGGTCATCCTTGATTTCTCACCCTGAATCCCTTCCTCTCCCAGTCTCCGATACCTCAGTAAATAAGAGGTCCCCAGAGGCCGAGGTGAAAACTCTGGGGCCATCCTTGAGCTCTCTGTCTTTTCCCTCAGGCACCCCGTTTAACCTGCCAGATCTGGTGAGCTCTGCCCTAAAATAAAGCACCTTGCCCACTCTGCTCTGTCTCCCCTGCCATGTCTGAGTTCACACCACAGTTACTTCCAGTCTACTGTAGGCATTTTGTTATGCTCTTGCTTCCATTTAAGCAGCGAAGTCAGGAGACTTGCCTGGTGGTCCAGGGGCTAAGACTCTGCTCTCCCAGTGCAGGGGGCCCGGGTTCGATCCCTGGTCAGGGGACTAGGTCCCACATGCCGCATCGCAACTAAGACCCGACGCAGAGAAATAAACACTAAAAAAAAGCAGTAAGCTGGTGTTTTAAGAACATAAATCCTTCCCTGTTACTTCTGTTTAAGGCCTTGAGTGTCATCTCCCTTGGTATCACCCTGCTTATCCTCCTCTCACAGCTCTTAACTCAGTTATCTCATTTGCTCCCTGTCTCTGCCCAGTGGAGGGGGCAGGGCCCTTGGGTGTCACGCTTCACCATCCTGGCCTTAGAACCCGGACAGGTGCCCAATGAGTGGTCGTGAGACGAATGCCTCCTGAAACAGACTATGAATCTAAGGGTTGAGACAGAACTCCACTGGTGAGAGCCTTAGAACCCATTACAGCTCTTCAAATCCACCGGGCACTCCTCCTCCCCTCGCTTTCTCCCCTTCTCAAAATCAGGACATGGTTCACACGTGATGTACTGGGTTGGCAGAACAGCTTCTCGGGGTTTTCCTGTGACACCTTATGGAAAAACCCAAACGACCTCTTTGGCCAACCCACTACTTACCATAGTAAGATCTGCCCATGATTTCTTTCTCAAAGGCATTCACTGAAATGAAAGCCACTTTGCAGTTGAGAAGCTATGGTAAAAGTAACTTTAGTTACCAGCCCTCGAGAGCTAGGCAGGTAAAGTGTCCTCTCCGTCAGGCTCTCAACGCCCGGCAATAGGAATTTGAGCGGCTCCTGACAGTCAAGCGCCCAGCACAGGCCTGTCTGCTGCTGGTGCCCGCACAGTCCCGTTACTGCAGCCCACGGCTGCCCTGGCTCACCCGCATGTGAGGGACGGACATTAAAAGGTGTACAAATCCCCATGCTGCTTCTGAGGCACAGGGTGATCCCATCAGAGGAAAGAACGTCATTTTGAAGCAACTCTTGAGCTTAAATTCAGATTTGCAAATGGAGTCTTAGTGTTTGGTTGAGAAGAAAGTTTGGTCATGTGACAAGCAGGCTGAAAAGAATAACGGAGTTCCAAGGTGCCATCTGGAGGGCAGGCAGGGAGGCGGGTGGTGAGGGGAAGAGAGACCCTCGCGAGACTGGGGCTCGGCGTGGCCGGACCACTGAGGAGCCCCCAGCGGCACAGTGGCTCAAAGAACGCTTAATGGCTTTTTTTTTAATCGTTATTTTTTAAGTTGGCCTCACTGCACAGCGTGTGGGTTAGTTCCCTGACCAGGGATTGAACCTGTACCTCACGCATTGGGAGTCTGGTGTCTTAACCACTGGACCACCAGGGAAGTACTTTCAAAGACTGTTTAAGAAAAGAGAATTTCAACATGCAAATTTAAATTATTTGTTGGGTGGCTCAGGGATACAACACTTTCACCAAAGGAACAAATGTCCCCACCAACCTGAATTTTACTTCAGAAACTACCATAAAAGCCTAAATCTTTTGATATAGTTATGTGGAATGCTTAAAATAATACTGCCTTTCACGCTGCTTTGAAAACCTTTTAAAGATTATGATTCGAATAATCTGTTGTAAAGAACTCTGTACATCTATGTAAGGAGGTATTAGTGATGCTTCCCGTTTGCTAACATTGTTGCCCCAGGTATTCCTGATTTTCCACAATTTTCAGAATACAGAACTGATTTTATTACTGCTTAGAAAGTAATGATTACTGAATGCATCAGTAATAACACCGACCCTTTAACAAGGACCTATCAAGTGCTTTAACAAAATTCCTATAAACACATTAAAGACAGTAGGGCTAACTAATCTTCTCTTTCCTCTCTTCTTTGCTGTTGTTCAGTTGCTCGGCTGTGTGTGACCCCATGGACTGCAGCATGCCAGGCTTCCCTGTCCTTACCATCTCCTGCAGGTTGCTCACACTCAGGTACACTGAGTTGGTCCTCTGATGACCCCCTTCTCCTCCTGTCTTCAGTCTTTCCCAGCATTAATCTCTCTTGACAGAGGAATTAAAAGACATTTAAAAGACATTAAAAATTACCTCTTTATTCATTTTGAACCATTGATATTGTACAAAAGGATGTCCAGTTGCCCGGCAACACAGCTTCACAAACTGTCCTGCCAAGACTGCCTTGGATTCGGGGTTTACAGTGATCTTTATTCCTTAAAAAAAAAAAAAAAAGAAGTTATATAAATAGAATCAGAGAAGAGGGGCTTTCCTTGTTTATGTTTCTGAAACCAAAAAGATAAATATTTTGGAAATAACCTGCATATTCATTCTTGTTATAAATTACTCACTCATATCTCTTCCTCATCAGATGGTGAGTCTGTGAGTTCCAGGCTCTGTAAAACCAGAAGGAAAGAAACTCACCTGCAGAAGACTTTGATCGACCACATCCCCCTCACCCTCCACGACTGGGGGAGAAAACTGTTCGCTGTATTTCTTCAGTTCTGAGAAATATTTTTTCCATGTCCCAACGCCTCTGAAATCAGGCTGTGCCTTTAATAACTGTCTGAGGGAGCAGTCAGGGTGCGCTCTCACTGCCAACTCTGGGACTATGTGGTCACAGTGTTTATACAGTCAGCGCTTCAACTCAGGCGCATGGTTTTTGTTAAGACAAATGTGAGTTTAAATGCCAATGAAATGTCTTCAAAAGACATTCCCTGGAGGTCTAGGGGTTAAGGCTTCACCCTGCAATGCGTTCGACCCCTGTTTGGGGAACTGAGATCCCATGTGGCTCCTGGCCAAAAAAGATAAAACATAAAACAGAAGCACTGTTCTGACAGATTCAATAAAGATTTTAAACAAAAACTGGTCCACTTAAAAAAAAAAAAGAATTCCAATGCTATGGTTTAGCGTTAAAATAAAACTATTCTGGAAGCAGAAAGGCAGAGAAACAGAAGAGCCTGATGAAAATTTGATACACGTGATGCAAACATTTCTCATCTGAGAAATGACTACCAGCGTCAAAACCTGGGGGCGGGGGCGTGCCACATGGCTTGTGGGATCTTAGTTCCCTGACCTGGGGCCTCAGCAGTGGAAGTCTGGAGTTCAAACCCCTGGATCGCCAGGGAATTCCCCAAACATGGAACACTTTTGAGAGGCGCTCCTTGTCAAAAATCCTGGAGTTAATAATGGAATACCTCCTCTCCCTCTGGGGAAGCCCGCTGCAAGTCACGGGGATACCTGGGCAGCTTCGCAGAGAGGCCTGGGTGAAAGGAAAGCAACGCGGGGCTCCTGCCAACAGCCATGTGCGTGAACCATCTGAGCAGAGGATTACCCAGCCCCATTTGGACCTTCAGATAGCTGCAGCCCCGGCTGATGGCTGGACTGTCACCTCATGAGAGACCCTGAGCCAAAACCAGCGGGCTCAACCACTCCTGGATTCCTGCCCTCAGAAACTTGGAAGTAATCAATGGATGCTGATTTTAAAAATTCTTGGTCTTGGAATAATTCATTATGTAGCAGCAGATAACTGACACAAAAGGAACCAAAGCTAGGACATTTCACATTTGCCAGGGTTTTAATACATAAATCTTGGCTTTTGTGCTAAATCGCTTCAGTGGTGTCCAACTCTTTGCGACCCTATGGATTGTAGCCTGCCAGGCTCCTCTGTCCATGGTATTCTCCAGACAAGAAAACTGGAGTGGGTTGCCATGCCCTCCTCCAGGGGATCTTCCAGACCCAGCGATCAAACCCATGTCTCACGTCTTCTGCATTGGCAGGCAGTTGCTTTACCACTAGTGCCACCTGGAAAGACCAGCTGGCTTTCAGAAAGGAGAAATAATCATTAAAACTTATAAAACTTAATTTCCCAGGCCTATTTTTATTTTTCCTCACGTATCCTGAACACGATCGCATATCTTTTTTTCTACAACCCAGTAATGCAAACGAACAAAACAAGATTACCGCTGAAGAGGAGACAGTCTTAAAGAACAGCAATCTTAATACATGAACGATACTAAACTTTCAAGGGAAAGAATAGTATATAAGGCAAAACAGGCATGTGAAATCCATGCAGGAAAGACAAAGGATAAAACCAAAATCCAAAATGAGTAAACATTTACTGCATTCCTAGCACACCTGAGGGTCTGGAGAAACCCAGGAAAATCAGTAAATACAGCTGCTGCTGCTGCTCCTAAGTCGCTTCAGTTGTGTCCAACTCTGTGCGACCCCATAGACGGCAGCCCACCAGGCTCCCCCGTCCCTGGGATTCAAATACAGCAGAGCCTCTCAAAAAAAATTTACAACTCCTGCCAAGGAAAAGCTTTCATATTCATTCATCCTTTCTGCGGATGCCAACTGAGCACGGGATGGCTGAAGTAGCAGCTTTCCTGAATTCCGTTATCCGTGTTAGTAGAAAAGTATATGCTGAAGTCAGAAAATGGGGTGAGCACTCTTACTTAAGCCAGAAAATTCACACACTGTGTTTTAACACTCACATATACCGTTCATCTGCCAGGAGAGACCTACATCACAACTTTAAGATGCAAGGATTCTCATTTCCAACGTTTAAGTATGATAAGAGAGGGAAGAAAAAAAGTTGCAAAACCAACAGAAGGGAACAAGTATAAATTTGAACTATACCTAGGCGCTGTAGCTAAATTGGCTTTAAAATGTGGGTGCCTATAGCCACCTCAAATGTACTGTCCCCAGCCGCTCCGGACACAGAACCCCTGCCCCTTCTAGATTCCCAGGCTTCCCCGTCTCAGGGAGGACAGACCAGGCCTCAGCCAGCCCCGGGCCTCCAGCGACTCACGACAGACCCTCCGCACACTCCCTTCTTCTCCACGTATAATTCAGCTGCAAGTCCTGTCAGACTTTCCCATGTCTCACCATCTCCCATGCCGTGATCTCAATCCAAGCCGCCGTCCCCTCCTGACTGTTGCCACAACCTGCTAGCGTTCTTTCCTTACTTCCAACCAGCAGCTCAATGTCTTTTTAAAACAAATGGATCCACAGCTCTCCTCTGATTAAAAACCCCCTTCGGACCTCGCCCTGGACCTAGAATATGACCGGAGCTCCTTATGTGGCCGAGGAGGGCCTCTGTGAACGGACCCCCCTGCCCTTGTCCCCCCGGCTCCTTGCCCATCGCGCTCCAGCCATGCAGGCTTCTTTCCTCCAGAGGACAAGCTCTTTCCTGTCTTTTCACTTCCGGTTCTCTGCTGGATTTCGCCCCCAACCCCCACTGTCTCATGGCAGACAATTTTAACACCCAGGTCCTCAGCATTTCTGGGAAAGGTCTCTACGTGGGTGACCCCCACCCTCCTTCCCTATGGCAGCCTGCCAGCTTTGCGGGCTTCAGCGCACTCGTCACCTGAGGTCTCGTTTCTTACTGTCTCACCTACTCAACCAGAGGTTACTGTCTTAGTCACCGGTTCACCTGATGCCTAGAGCAGTGCTTGGCACAGTGCAACAGTGGGTGTTCAACACATATTTGCTGAACAAATGTGTATTTTAATAATAAAAATGACTACAGCAGCGATTTTACTGACTGCTTTATATTTGCCCACCATTTTGAATTCTAACCTTCAAAATAACCATGGTAATTAGATTGATGTTACAATAAGGAGAAATGAACTTAAGTTATTTGCATAAAGTCATTCGAGTTACCTTGGGTAAATTATTTAACCTCCCCAGGACTAATTTTTTTCTCACTGTAAAATGGCAGCACCAGGATGCAAACCTATATTTTCCTAGGCTTTTAAGCCTTTTGTTATCCCAGTGATCTTTTCCCCTCCACCTTTACTGAAGAATAACCAACAAAAACTGCATATATTTAGGGTGTACAACATGATGGTTTAATAGTTATACATTGTGAAATGCTTGCCACAATAAGCTAACTCATAAGCTCACACAGTCATCATTTCCCAGTGATTCTTTTTTTGGGGCCTTGAAGCATGGGAGATCTGGCTTCCCAGGTGGCTCAGTGGTAAAGAATCTGCCTGCCAATTCAGGAGCCACAGGAGACGTAGGTTCCATCCCTGGGTTGGGAAAATCCCCTGGAGGAGGAAATGGCTACTCACTCCAATATTTTTGCCTGGAAAAATCCATGGACAGAGAGGAGCCTGGCAGGCTACAATCCATGGGATCACAAAGAGTTGGACGCAACTGAATGTACAGCATGTGAGATCTTAGTTCCTTGACCAGGGACCAAACCTGCACTCCCTACACTGGAAAGCAGAGTTTCACCACTGGACTGGCAGGGAAGTGCCAGTTTTCTGGTGATCCTTAATGTGTCTCCCATGCTAACCCTATCTTCTGCCAGAGTGAGTCTCTCTTACTGGAAGGAGTGTATCTTGCACCGTGACAGTGCCTCAAAATTTACCTTGGAGAAGATACTCTGCTATTACACAAAGAGACAAGAGAGGAGAAAGAAGGAACTGAAAAGCTTTCTCTCTAGAGGGTCTCAAAGAGAAATGAACGACTTTAGTCAAAGCAGGCCACGTGACCAGGATGTTCCAGAAGCTTCCTTTGTGGGAGACAAGACCAAGTAACTTTTAACAGTAACTTCAAACTCACAGTTTATACACCGGTCCTGTGCCAACAGTTTTAGTTGTCTAGGTCTTCAGGAAGCAAGCAAAGACATGTCTTTATTATTTATTGCTTCAAAGACTGAGAATGAAAGGCAAAGTGTGATTTGAAAACCGCCCTGGGTGAGAAGTAAAGAGAGAAGTCACAATACCTCCTATGTTTCAACCACATATGCTTCCTTCCTCCCACGTCGTGTGTGTGTGTGTGTGTGACCGGGAACCGTGGTCACCTCTAACCACCCTCGCGCAGTGCCCACTGGAAGGTGCTGAGACAAAGCTGGGAGCGGGGATGGCACAGAGCTGGGAGGGGGGTGTCCGAAGGCACACAAATGAAAGCTCTGTTTTAAAGGGCGATCGCACAGTTTCCTGGCAAACAAGCCTATTTTCAGATAACATCTGCAAAGAAGTCAAAGAAGTTACTTGATTTCCTGTAAGCTGGGGACAATCTGACTAGGTCTGATGGCACATGAGGATTGTGCTTTCAACACACACACCTGTATAGAACACCAGTTCAAGACATTTAACAATAAACCCCCCGCTGGAATTGCTACATAGATAAACAAGGGTGATTCTTGACTTGACAGAAGGATTCCTCAAAGGTTCCCTTTGCCTTATTCTCTCTTACAAAGCACTTGAACTGATGCAACGCACAACTCTTTCAGGAATAGATCTATTATGTATATTACAGTGCATCTATTTTCAGAGGCCATGAACCAAAAAAGCCGTTTCCGCCATCTTCCATTTAAAACCCTCCCTCCGAGGTTTTATTTTGAGCATTTGTAGGCTATTACTGAAAAGCACGCCAAAGAGTCCCAGAATAAACATCATCCCTCTTCCTTGAACAATTTCCCCTCATTACACAACCAGTGTGTGTCCATGCACTTTTCTCCTACAGGTCAATTTACATTTGTATCTGCTGTGGCTAAACCTGGTCTTCCAGCTCACTCTGCTCCTGCTTCCACGTCACCGACTACCTGCAGCGTCCTGGCCCGGAAACCCACCCTCCCAGCCCTTGTCACCATTCCGCTTCTGTTTCTCGGCTTTCTTGATCTTCCTTCCATTTTTACCTCTTTTTCCTTCTTAACATCCTGCTTTAAGGAATTTCTGTTGTTAACAAAACAAGATGAGTCCCTTGTAAGTAAGATCAAGTCTCTGAGTATTTTTTAACTTGTCAAGAAGAGAAAAATTGAAGTCCATGGGTCAAAGAGGAAATTGAGTATGACAATACGTAGCTAAGCTTCCCAATCTAGAATCTTCCTAGCATTATTGGAGAGGATAGTGAGTTCAGGCCAGGTTCTGATCCTACTTTTGCCAACAACCAACTGTGATTTTGGCCAAATGATAACTTCCAGTAATCCCCTTTTCCACATAACTGTGTGCTCACATTTAAAATTTAAAAGTTCATAGACAGTCCTGTTCTGGTCCTTCATAGAACTGTGAAGATAAAAACATGGAAGTAGAGGTATCTTGGGAACTGAAGAATAACAGTTAGCCATCTTTGCTCTTATCTTAGAGACAATAAAAGTAATACAAAATAAAATTGATATCAGAAACACAACCATGAGTATGTTACAGGGAATTAAAGAAGAAAAATGAACTGACACCAAAAAGGAGTGGGGAAGAATGGAAACGATGTGAGTGAAACCAGGTGACTGCCAGCATGGCTGCAACGTATCTGCGGCAAAGCTCCTTTTATATAAGAATGAAATAAAATGGCAGCATCACAAAACTGGAGCAGAAAGATGGAGCATCACGAAACTGGACCCTGGGGTCCATCTACTGGAACCCTGTGTGGCGTCTCTTGCGCCTCCTGCGTTTCCAGGAAGGTTCTTTGCCACTAGCGCCACCTGGGAAGCCCGTGTGACGTGATAATTCTCTCTAAACATCCCCCACCCTCCAGCCCCTGCTTGGTCGACTCCAGGTCAGAGCATGGCTTCCTTGGCAACCAATCTCGTGATGAGCATGACCCTAGCTGAGAGAGCCGATCAGTCTGCACCCAAACGGTTTCTCTTAAAACAGAGCTCTAATTGACGGTGCTTATACCTCTGCACTCAAGACAAAAACAACTCAAATAGCATAGCTAGGTTTATTTGTGTTTGCCAAGGCTACAGATGCCAATCGTGGTTGTTTTGAGACCAGGATCTTTGACCCTTTAATTAAAAAATAAAAAAAATAATGGTCTAAAAAATCATTACAGACTTCTGGTTCAAAACAGTTTCAGTGAATTCATTTAATGCCCCTGCCCTTCTCCAATTTCCCCTGAAATGCCGAGAGGAGTAAAAATAGGAGAACAGTGAGTCAGAGCTGGACAATGCAGATGGATACCATCCATTCATAAAAATCATAAGCCATTTCTCTAACATAAAGTGCAGACTAGACCAGACTAAGAAGCAAGCTGGCCAACCCACCCACGTGCGATGGAGAAGCCCAACTGGAAGGAAGGCAGAAGAGGATAAATCACATCTTCTGCAAAATATATCAGGTATTAGAGCCCACAGAGCACAAGAATGTGGGGGTGCATAACCCTTGTCTTAGACCTCAAACGAGCAACCACAGAAGGTGGCTCCTCATCAAGGCAGTTGATGCAGTGAGAGACGGGGAGCCCTCCCCAGCTGCGTCTGGGCCACCAAAACAAAGACATCCGAGAAATCGGGTGCCACAGCCATGTCCTGTGGCCATCTGTGGCTGTCCTCCCACAAAGAACTGGAACAGAATATGGCAAAGTCAGACGAAAATAAACCTGAAGTTTCCCCTTCTCCTTGGGTTTAGGCCTGAGAGGCCTGTTCAGAGGCTTACAGCATCTTCGTCTCAAACCAGAGCTCTCTATAAGGACAATCAGAGAAAAGTCATCAGATTTTTTTGTGGAATAAGAATTAATATCCTCTTATGAGACTGCATTATCAAAAAAAGAGAAAATACTAGAATATTCCCACTTTGTATTTTCACCAAGATGCAGGAATACACTGAAAAGGAAAAACTGGAGATTTATTTATACTTGTTTTACGATTATACTGGATTTGATGAATTACATGCTTGTCTTCCTTACTAGATGATGAATTCTGAACACGCAGGAACTATTGTCTTAGTCATCTTTGAACTCACAGTACCAGGCATAATGCCTGGAATAGCAAAAGCATTAGTATACAGTATTAGATTAAGAAGTATTAGAATACAGTAAGGTTGACTGAACGAGCAAAATCCCACATTAAGCTGATTCCATCAGAGCTCGCATTCTTAATTATAATGGTTTTTATTCTCAATGTCCCTAATTGAAATATTAAAGTTCTTTAATTCTTAAATTTCTATATTCTAACAAATGTAAATACAGTAAATTTTAGATTATTCACATAAGATTCAGGAGGAAAGCTAACTGTAAATTACTGAGTTTTATTAGATCTCCAACTATTTCCTCTTAAATCAATAATGAACATTCAAGTAACAACTGATTTCTAATCTATGGCTAATCCAACATAAAACTTCACAGAAATAGTGCCTCACCGGTAATGCAGAAACTGCTTTCTTTTTCCTAGTCTCCCCTCAAATATGAAAAAGCCCCAGAGTATAACTGAAAAAGCCTATAGGCCTAATATCTGAATGACCTGCACAAAGGAAGACTGATGGCAAAGTGCTGATCTTACTACTTGGAGAGAAACACAAAGGGCAGAAACAGATTTTTCCAAAGAAGATGACTGACTTTATTAGGATGGTACTGTATTGGCTGCTGGCTTATCACATCAAAATAGAAAATAGCTAAAACTTTCAGGCATATCTATATACACAAATAAATATGTGACTCCATTTCAGTCCACCCCGTTTCACACATGGAAAACCTGAAAACCTTCAGTCTCAGGCCAGCGATCACAACATAATCCGTGAGATGAGTGTGCAGCCTCCTAGATATAGACCAACACACCTCTGCAGCTCCTCTAAGTCTTCGAGGTAAAGAATACTTACTCTCATTTTATAGACTGGACAAAGTCATTAAGTGCAACTGTTGAAAAACCTAATGAGATGTTAAAGTTATATTTACTACCCACAGAAGTTTCTTAAGTTTTCAGAGGTCCTGGTATTCTATTAAGTAGAACTTTATAGCCGAGTGCCCTAGGCTGGTAGATTTCAATCACCACAACTCCTGGGTACTTTTGAGACATTGGGGATATAAACATTAGTAAACGCCACCTGAAGGAGTGGTTTACTGTCTGGTGATGGAGAGCACCTGAATCTAGACAGGACCTGTGTTAGCACCAGTTATTCCTATCTAGGCCTCCTCCAAGAAAAGGCCCTGAGAAACACTCATCAAGCGTTTGATACAGTGGGTGACACAAAGGAGGTGTTTACAGGAGGCTGTTTCATCATTTGCACTTGGCCTGGAAAAGCAGAGGATAACCTGAGAGTCCAAGATTCCTGGCTTACAATCCAGGGTCCACTTGTAGTAAGAGTTCTTAGTACCCCATCCTCAGCCCCCAGCACCCAGTTTTGTCTGGCGATCCACGAGATTTCTAGCAAGCTGATTAACCCACTCCACTCCTGGTTCTCTGCCAGGTGAGCTGGCACATTTCATCGTGCCGGTGGTGACAAGTGCAGGGATGATGGGAACATAACCAAAATCAGTTCACTTGCTAGAGAATCCTAAGATTTCTGCTGAGACAAGGATAAATGCCAGGAACAGCTAGTAGACACCTTATGACTATGTAGAAAGTCAGTCTTGGGAGGAAGTCAACGATAAGAAAGGAAAGGCAGAGACGAAATCCACCTTCTTGGAAACAGGGCTGCTCCCTGCCTTTCCTGAAGCCCAAACTGGTGCAAGACTTTTCTGATGGAACCAACATACTCCCTTTATTACAGCAAGCTGCACTGAGGTTTCTGGTACATGTACTTCACAGTACGCCACTATACCATGTGTCCCTAATTTCCCACGTCCCTGAGAAAGGTCTGCAGTGTGGCTGCTGTCACATGACCTGGATGACATGGTCCCTCCTGCTGACGTCTCGGTAACCGGCCAACTCCACCCACAGCTGTGGAAAGGAAGGACTGTTTCCTATTCAGTACATCTGACCTTGGAAGTGAGCAATTTCACTCAATATTGGTATATGGGGGGGGCGGGAAATCATTTGGTTGAGTTACTCAACATTTCAAAAGCACCATGCTGGTTGTCAAAAAACTTCAACAATAAACACCTGTCATACTTTATCTCGTTCACCTACATACACATAAATAAATACACGTGTATCTGCTTTCTTGGCTGCACTATTTCAACATAAGTTATAGAAACTTCACCCCTCAATGCACCTCCTTGGAATAAAGACATTCTTCTACAGAATGACAACACCATCATCACATAATAGTTCTCTAATACCTAACATGTACGTTATATTCAAGTTGTTCCAACTGTCCTCAAAATGTCTTCTATAGTTTTTTTTTTTGAAAAACAATCCAACCTAAGTTTATGTATTGCATTTGCTTTTTGTGCGTTCTTTAGTCTCAACCCAGGGGACAAATGAGGCTCCATACGTGTACATGTTCCAAAAATACTTAACACAGTTCATCTGGTCAAAGGAGACATTTCCCTCGGAGGCGGCCTCCTTGGCCTCTGGAGAACGTGCTCATGGGGAAGGCCTACCTGGGGGGCTGAGAAGCTGAAGGACCTCGGTGTGCTCCATGGCCTGCAGAAAGTCGCTCAGCTCCACGACCGTACAGCCCTTCTCAGCCAGCAGCTTCAGTAAACACAGGCTGGGGCTGCCTTCCGGCTCCAGGACCTTGAGAGAGCACTGCTCCAAGTCGAGACAACTGCCAACGACAGATTTAAGTCAGGTCAGCACCTTTACTTCAGTGCGATCTGCCTGCTGTATGTTTGGCCCCATCGTGGGTGCTGCAGGGAATAAACAGCAAGTTGTCGAGTGGTGGAAACGGTTTACAGGACAAATGACTACTGTCCCTTTTGACACAGTCTCCTGATGATGCTCACCTTGTATAGCAGAAGTTGGCAAAATTTTCCTGTAACATGCCAGAGTGTTAATATTCTAGGCTTTATATGGGCCTCAGGGTCTTTGCTGTACCTTCTTGTTTTTGTTTTATAATACTTTAAATATAAAAAAATGTTCCTGGCTCATGAGCTGTACAAAAACAGACAGGGCTCTGAGTATGGCCCATAGGCTGTTGGCGGCAGACCCTTGCTCTATTTGACATATTTTGCCTTAAAGCCATGAGCTTTTCTTTCATAAGCAAGTCTTCTTTTTGCTGTTGTTTGGTTGCTAAGTCTCTTTTGACTCTTTTTGACCCCATGGACTGTATCCCGCCAGGCTGCTCTGTCCATGGAACTTCCCAGGCAGGAATAGTGGAGTGGGCTGCCATGTCTTTTTTTACTCAACTGAATAAAAGCACTACTTGCAAACAGAAACACTATCATACATTGGATTGGCCAAAAAGTTTCTTTGGGTTTTTCTATACCCTTTCTTTTGGTGGGGGTGGGGGGGGTGGTAGACATAATTCCCTTATAATTAATACTTGGAGTTTGACATCATGTACACCAACATTCGTCAAGGCTGAATATCACAGGTAAAAGAGAGTATTATGACTATAAGATATCTCTTCGTAGTTCCCAGTTTTATCTTTCAGCTATAAAGGTCAGTTACCAGAATCAATTGACTTGCTCTTAACAAGTAAATTTTTATGTCCACTCAATCAAAGAGTCTCTTACATCTTTCTGGGCCTATTCATTTGCAGACAGGAGTAGAAGCTGTAGCCAAGTTCTTCATACCATGCATTCATATGTGATGTTCACTCTTCGTATGCTGCCCAACTTCCTTAAGATAAAAGGAGTGACTTACAGCGGGGCCACACAGATGAGGAAGTTCTATATGGAGATCACTGTCCTCGAGCATCTTCCGTTTCACCTTCTTGGGGTCCAGTTTCTGTGCAAGGCCCTCAACCTGGAACACCTGATCTGTGCCTCACGGCTTCCAGCAGCTGCCCTCTCTTGTAACATCTTATGGAAAAATCCGAACAAACTTTTTGGCCAACCCAATATGTGTCTTAATTCCTCAATACCAAAAATTTTTCCTGGCTCATATTAATCATTTATAACTGAAAGACTATCGAGTGAATTTTAATCATAATTGAAATGCCTGGGACCCAGGATGGAAGGGGTCAAACATAAACATGGTACTGCAGCTATGGCAGAGACAAAGTGAGCAAGCTTTCATTTGGCTTAAAATATTCTTAATCAACATTCATTTTGACCAGTTTTAGTAAAAGGCTGCCATAGCATTTATACAATATAATGGTCACCCAAGATTTATAATTCTGTGATAAGGTTGGTTATTTCATAAAGAAAAACATGCATCCAACCAAAATAACTTCAGCACTAATATTCTACCTCATAGGACTGTTAGAATTAATTTAGGCAATCCATGTAAAAAGTACTTAGCACAGTATGTGCCAAATAAACAGTGCTCAATTGAATCGATCAGTCTTCCTCTGTGAGTTTCATTTGCTTCCTCTTTAAAGAAGGGCCCCTGACTAGAAGATCTCCAAATTCCTTTGCAGTTCAAAAACTCTGTAATTCTGGAATTACAAAGTTCAGATTCCGGTTATTTGACTCTTCCTTTACATTTTAATCTCAAAATAGACAGGTGACATCCTCAACCCCTCAGTGAAACTGGGAGGCAAGAGGCAGGGGCAGCTGATATTTCTACAGAGACTTCGAGGTCTAACCTGCCGGGTCTTCTGAATACCACCTCAAGATTTACTGCAGGTGGTTTTAAAGTCTAAGATTGCTCATTTGAAAATGATGTTCACTATAACTCAGAGTGTGACTGTGGTCACTGAATCATGGTGTCTGGCACATGGTCAATTGCCCATAATTTTTTTCTTGATTACTTTCCTTTTGGGTTAGACTGACATAATATATAGCTTGTAACTAAAAGATTAAAATGTAATAAATGACTTGCAAAACAGTAAAAAAAAAAAAAAAAGGACTCAATAAAATTTAGGCTCTTATTATAATAAAAAATGGGAATATTAAAAGAATACTAAGGTTAATTTCTCAGTTATGCTTATTTATAAAACTGTTTTAGCTTTTCCTTAAAAATTTCTTTGAGAATGAAACTATAACACTTCCTAACACCATACACAAAAATAAACTCAAAATGGATTAAAGATCTAAACATAAGACCAGAAACTATAAAACTCCTAGAGGAGAACATAGGCAAAACACTCTCCGACATAAATCACAGCAGGATCCTCTATGACCCACATCCCAGAATTTTAGAAATAAAAGCAAAAATAAACAAATGGGACCTAATGAAACTTAAAAGCTTTTGCACAACAAAGGAAACTATAAGCAAGGTGAAAAGACAGCCCTCAGATTGGGAGAAAATAATAGCAAACGAAGCAACAGACAAAGGATTAATCTCAAAAATATACAAGCAACTCCTCCAGCTCAACTCCAGAAAAATAAATGACCCAATCAAAAAATGGGCCAAAGAACTCAACAGACATTTCTCCAAGGAAGACATACAGATGGCTAACAAACACATGAAAAGATGCTCAACATCACTCATTATCAGAGAAATGCAAATCAAAACCACAATGAGGTACCATTACACGCCAGTCAGGATGGCTGCTATCCAAAAGTCTACAAGCAATAAATGCTGGAGAGGGTGTGGAGAAAAGGGAACCCTCTTACACTGTTGGTGGGAATGCAAATTAGTACAGCCACTATGGAAAACAGTGTGGAGATTTCTTAAAAAGCTGGAAATAGAACTGCCATATGACCCAGCAATCCCACTTCTGGGCATACACACCAAGGAAACCAGATCTGAAAGAGCCACGTGCACCCCAATGTTCATCGCAGCACTGTTTATAATAGCCAGGACATGGAAGCAACCTAGATGCCCATCAGCAGACGAATGGATGAGGAAGCTGTGGTACATATACACCATGGAATATTACTCAGCCATTAAAAAGAATTCATTTGAATCAGTTCTAATGAGATGGATGAAACTGGAGCCCATTATACAGAGTCAAGTAAGCCAGAAAGATAAAGACCATTACAGTATACTAACACATATATATGGAATTTAGAAAGATGTAACGATAACCCTATATGCAAAACAGAAAAAGAGACTCAGATGTATAGAACAGACTTTTGGACTCTGTGGGAGAAGGTGAGGGTGGGATGTTTCAAGAGAACAGCATTGAAACATGAATATTATCTAGGGTGAAACAGATCACCAGCCCAGGTTGGATGCATGAGACAAGTGCTCGGACCTGGTGCACTGGAAGACCCAGAGGGATCGGGTGGAGAGGGAGGTGGGAGGGGGGATCGGGATGGGGAATACATGTAAATCCATGGCTGATTCATGTCAATGTATGACAAAACCCACTACAATATTGTAAAGTAATTAGCCTCCAACTAATAAAAATAAATGAAAAAAAAATTTCTTTGAGTAGCTACTGTTTTGGTAACTTGGTGGTATCCTCTAAAGTTTACTATCACTAATATTCTAGCTAAAAATTTGTATATTTAATACTTTATCCTTGTTAAACTATTTCACATCCTAAAAGATGATGCTGTGAAAATGCTGCACTCAATATGCCAGCAAATTTGGAAAACTCAGCAGTGGCCACAGGACAGAAAAAGGTCAGTTTTCATAACAATCCCAAAGAAAGGCAATGCCAAAGAATGTTCAAACTACCGCACAATTGTACTCATCTCACACACTAGCAAATAACGCTCAAAATTCTCCAAGTCAGGCTTCAACAGTATGTTAACTGTGAACTTCCAGGTGTTCAAGCTGGATTTAGAAAAGGCAGAGGAACCAGAGATCAAATTGCCAACATCTGTTGGATCAAAGAAAGAGCAAGAGAGCTCCAGAAAAACATCTACTTCTGCTTTACTGACTATGCTAAAGCCTTTGACTGTGTGGATCACAACAAACTGGAAAATTCTTGAAGAGGTGGGAATACCACACCACCTTACCTGCATGCAGGTCAAGAAGCAATAGTTAGAACTGGACATGGAACAACAGACTGATTCCAAATCAGGAAAGGAGTATGTCAACGCTGTATCTTGCAACCCTGCTTATTTAACTTATATGGAGAGTACCTCATGCGAAATGCCGGGAGGATGAAGCACAAGCTGGAATCAAGATTGCCAGGAGAAATATCAATAACTTCAGATATGCAGATGACACCACCCTTATGGCAGAAAGCAAAGAAGAACTAAAGAGCCTCTTGATGAAAGTGAAAGAGGAGAGTGAAAAAGTTGCATAAAACTCAACATTCAGAAAACTAAGATCATGGCATCCGGTCCCATCACTTCATGGCAAATAGATGCAGAAACAATGGAAACAGTGACAGACTTATTTTCCTGGGCTTCAAAATCACTGCAGATGGTGATTGCAGCCACGAAATTAAGCAACGCTTGTTCCTTGGAAGAAAAACTATGACCAACCTAGACAGCATATTAAAAAGCCAAATAATAGAACATTACTTTGCCAACAAAGGTCTGTCTAGTCATAGCTATGGTTTTTCCAGTAGTCATGTATGGATGTGAGAGTTGGACCATAAAGAGAACTGAGTGCTGAAGAATTGATGCTTTTGAACCGTGGTGTTGGAGAAGACTCTTGAGAGTCCTATGGACTGCAAAGAGATCAAACCAGTCAATTCTAAAGGAAATCAGTCCTGAATATTCACTGGAAGGCCTGATGCTGAAGCTGAAGTTCCAATAGTTTGGCCACCTGATGGGAAGAACTGACTCATTGGAAAAGACCCTGATGCTGGGAAAGATTGAATGCGG